GGAGGAGGAGGAGGAGGAGGAGGAGGAGGAGGAGGAGAAGGAGAAGAAGAAGAAGAGGAAGAAGAAGGCAACAACAACAATAATAACAAACATGAAAATAATATACACGTATAAAGCAGGCCTGTAATATCAAGATGTTCTTTTCAAAACTATAATTGCAGACTGATTGGAGCCGTCTACCCGACGGTCTACTGAGACGTTACTGTTCTACTCGATGGTTTACAATGAAGTTTCTATTTTATTTCATGTTCTTCAACGGGCCAGCCTGATAACTGCTCTACTTCTATCAGTTTGATACAGGCTTGGTACTGTCATTAAAGACTTCTTCTCGGGATGATAGCGTTGTAAAATTGTTTCAGATAATATGTATCTTGTTTGTTTTTCAAACTGCAAGTGAATGAAACTTTGAATCTCACAGTTTCCAAACGAATGCATCCATCGCGTAAACACCTCCACTTTCGATCAGTCATCCCACGCCGTTTTTGTTCTCATGTATAGGCCTAATAAATCCAAGGCCTGAACTGCAGTTGACATCGTCCCGTTACTGTCACAACTTATACATGTACATGTATTTATTAATGATCCTTTTCTTTTCTTTCTTTTGTCTTTGAGAGCGTTGTTCGTCCACGACAGCATGTGGTCTTCCAATAATGATCCCCCATTCTGGTCTGTCTGCTGCTGTCCCTCTGATGTTATCTTGCCACCTTATTTCTGGTCTTCCTCTTGATCGTTTTCTTGTTCTTGCATGGTCTCCATTCATCTTTTTGTCCAAATGTTTTCTTTCATTCTACATGTACTAAAGGTGGCCGGCCCATTTCTCTTTGTATCGGAATATAGGGTAAAAAGGGGGAAAGAAGAGCAGAGGAAGACAAAGTAAGAGTTAATTTGAGAAAGAGTTTTACGGAGCTCGCAACTGAGTTAGGTCACATGAATACAAAGAACAGCGGACATAAATGGCCTCAACAACTTTACAACGAACAACTCAAAGAGACGAAACCGAGCTGATCAAGAAGACAGACGACAGGAAGGAATGGAGTGCAATGGTCGCCAATGTCTGCTCCAGATCTGACACCTGAAGAATAACAAGAATATTTATGCTAAAATATATGGGGATCTCCTCCCCTTGTTTCTTTTTTTTCTGGTGCTGTATTTACTGGTGTCTGTGGTGTTGTGGTCGGGCTCTTCGGCGCTGTCGCACGCAGGAGACTCAAGGTTGATTCCCAAGTGGGGAATATTTTTTCGGGTAGATCTATCTCGATGTTCTTTCGGCTGAGATTCGTCACAGCCTGTGTTAGCCCTTAGACAGGATCGGAAGCCCGCCTTTTAAATTGTGTCGATGAGGGTGTAAATACACCTACATATTTCAAGTGCGTTTTGTTTAACCTTGTTGTATTCTTTTACCCAACATCTTCCATTCCATTGCTCACTGGGTTGTCCTAATTTCTTTGTAATAGTTCTGGAACCGTACGTGGCCAAGTTTGACAACCATAGCTGACTGCATAGACCAGCACCGACGGGTCTGTCTGCAACGATTTAACGTCCATGCATCCTGTCGGACTAAGCCAAGTGGACAGAGAGCCAGTAGAACATTTCCCCAAAGAATTCAAAGAGGGAAAATCTACTTTAAAAGATTCGAGGAAAGTAGAATCCATCTCAGGGTCAGCTATAAAGGCCGGATAGTCGAACATGCCAACTGAGCTAGTGGTGGGTAACTAGACCAATATGCCCTGAACGGAATCTCAGATACACTACAATTAATCTGCTCACCTTTTACGTTCGAAGGGGCGGGCGCGGGGCGTGGCGGGGGCACGTACCAGTATTAAAAGAGCTGGAGCTTCGTTCGCACTTTCAAACAACGGAAAAAAGCGCACCCTTGTAAAAGGAAGGAAAGATGCGTCATTACTAATACTAATAGCTCGATAATTAGTTGATCTTTATGCACGTCGTACGTTGTTATGGCTCTTGATTCATTCTTCATACAAGCCACATGATTTTTGTTTACTCCCTATAGGACGCTTAAAGTTACCGTCACCAATTAAAAGCGGCCCACCGTGAATTTTTTTTGGCTTACCTTTGAAAGGATCGGCGACACGTACACAATTTTTAAAATGTAGTTTCTTCATGCGAAGAAAGTGGAAGTTTAAAGAGGTGCCCCCCCCCCCCCCCCATCCTGACACGCACACTAAAAATTAAATAATCAAATACTATTAAAAACGTCTAATCATTGTTGTTCACAGTTTTTTTTTTTTTATTGTTCAAGAGTTGAGATATCATTGTACCTACTAACAGTGGCGTGGCTCTCCAAGCGCAAATGACGCCATGGCGCCACCCTTTGAAATGGAGAAGGGATTTTCAAAAAAGGGAATACGATTTTCCAAAACTTAACTAAATGTCTCAATATTTTTTTCAAACAAATCTCTGTGTTCATCCCTAAGTACTCCAGTCTTTAGTTAAGGTGTATATAATTAGGCTAGTGGGAGGAGGGCGGGTAAGCCTCCCGTTGCCGGTCGCACGGGTCTCCCCGCGTCTTTCGTTCCCTACGTCTGACGTCACCGAGGGCGCCGAGCCCAGATCGGCGCTACCCACAGAATTCTACACTTCCTGAACCAGTGTCTCTGCCTGAACCCATCTGGGTGTTCATTGTTTAGGAGGGAAGTCTGGTCAAACTAATTCAAAATGATCTATAAACTATTTGATTCAATCAGTTGAAAAGAGGGTTCTCTTTCCAAGAATAGCAGAACAGTTTCTCCAATACCCCAGCCAGACATTTGACGGAAGACAAAAGAGATATCACCAAGAACATAACTCTGCCAAAAAGTGCTAGAACAGGTAGGCCTACTCCCATCACACTAAGAGACTGTTGGGCCAAAGGGCCGAGATCAGGGAGTTTAGAACTTTTTACTTTTAATCTCCTTGGCCGAGATGGATTTGGCGCCTGTATGGTAGGGAGGGGGTGGAGTGGTAGTTAGTAAAGTTAGCCTGGACATAGCATCGTTGCGAACCGTCTAAAAATAGGTTTTATTGCGTATTATTGTTTGCTTTCTAGAAACAAGAACTGCGCGTGAATCAGGGAATGGGGTCATTATGTCAAGACGCCCGGAGGGCAAGTGCATGCGTGTTCTTGACTGAGAATGTTTTATGTGCTTTTCTGTTGATCCGTGGGAAGTTATTGTTTTGTGTGTGAACAATTAAATTGTGATGTGATTGTGCGCATCTTGAGCGCCGAACTTGGTTCTTTATCATCAGTTCTCTCTCTATAAAATATTGTACCCGCACATATCTATTCTTCTCGCGTGGAAGTAGGTGTCCCTGTATCAGTATTAAAATTAAACGAAGAGGCGTATATAGTAGGTCTACAGTTTATAGGCCTGTAATAAGTAGGCAATATAACTATTTGTTATGCACAAATTTGTTCTTGGCGCCACCTTCTGTTGAAGTGTCGCCACTCCCCTGCCTACTATAATTACTTACTTTTTCAAAGTCAATGGTTGTCTGATACGAATTAAAGGTATTATAACCTATGGCACCCGATAAAAAGGATTTTTAACACGGAAGAAAAGAAAAGCGTAACAACTACCCAAACCGTGCAAAAACAATGCCCCCCCCCCCCCCCCCCCCCCATCGGAAATCGAAAAATCATTTTTAAAAAAATATTCCAGGCTACTCTTATTACTGCTAGAATCTACATTGCTTCACTGCTTCATTGGAAATGGTACATAATAATATATACATGTATTCGAAAACACCCCCCCCCCTCCCCCCGCTGGAATTTCACGAAGTTGACCTCAAAGCTCCCCCCCCTTTTTTTAGTCTTCCAGATTTTGCATTTTTTCTGTAGACATGTCCTGTGCAGAGAAATTTTAATAAGAACTGACCCATGTCATTGTTGTTGTTGTAACGACATAATAAACCTTATATTGCATATAAACATAAATTCAGCTTAATTATTAACTAAGCTGTTGTCCTTTTTGTAACTTCCCTTGAAGAAAAGACTGTTCCGGCGTGTACTGTCGTGCTGCGTTTAAATTCAATTCAATGTTGAACCTGTTTCTGAACTGGGTTTAACACGAAATCTGACAAAATTATTGAAAGAAGAGATTCATAAATGCATGTAACTACATGTAAATATTATGCGAATGTACCTGAAGACCGGAAGTTTATACCCGGTTACGCATTGTCAGTTGAATTCCTAAGCAGAGTTACCGTTCTTCCAAATCGGCCTCAACAATGTCGAGAATGGTAAGTGAAGAGCATGAAACGGTTGATTGTGTATCGGTTGCCATCCATAGTTTTCTTTTGTTTGAAATTAAATGATTGGTTGTATTTGAAATCAAAATGTATGAAGCAAATGATTGCTTAGAGAATTTATGTATGAAGCTAATTTCGAACTGATACATCGAACTGATTTGTCTAGCAACAGCGGCGTCCGTCTTCCAGAATGTTCCGTGTAGTGTGTGTAGTCAACAAATCTAGTTTCTGGAATAAATGGACAATGCCATGGTGATATGGTCCTGGTCTTTGAATTTAATGTTATCTCAGATGTTGTGTCTCTATTATTGAAGCCTAGCAACTATAACTAGATCTAGATCTAGACTAGTATAGTAAGTAGAGAGATCTGGTCTAGACTGGGTGTTGTTTGTTATTAGGTTACCTTGTTATTATTAGACTGAGAATAGAGTGACTGCTGCAACTTCAACCACCCATGACTCATGTGAATCAAATATTTGGTCATTCAGTCTTGACTGTACTTGTTAACCCATTTCTAGATCTACGAGAAATGTGTAGAATCCAGATCAAGTCGTTGGCTTCGATCTCAACTCAACATAGGAATTAGCTGAAAAAAATTCCAATTCCTAACACGTCCGCTATTTTCCGTTTCAGGTTTCAAAATTGTGTTCCAAATATTTTGATCATGAATAATGTATGTGGGTAGATCTATCTAGATCTAGATCTAGATTTAGATCTAGATCTAGATTAGATCTAGTGACAGTATGACTCTCGGCTTGATTGAACTTTGGTGGACCCACCGTGTTTATATGTATTAATGCGCATTAGGCAAACAACGGACCTATACAGTCATGGGTCCTAATCGACTGCTACGCAAACTAGTTCCCGACGATGCGAGGCGGAGTGAGTGAGACTTGTTCCAGGCGACGCGAGGCGGGGTGAGTGAGGGCTGCGAGAATGCCACGAAAGAGAGAGAGAGAGAGGGGGGGGAACGAGACAAAGTTGTAAACCGACCTGCATTTTAATTTCTTCCTGCACTGTCTGTTCTGGCACCTCCAAATTTCTTAAATCCTTTAATGACGAAAAATATGCACCACAATTGCATGTTGTCGTTACAATGGAATGTAAAATCTCTGCTAAACGACAAAAATAGTCATGATAGGAAGCCATTGTTCGACATCATGCCTCATCGACAAACAAGGTACTAACTAAAATGAACGGGACAATGCAGCAATGCAGAGATACCCAGATGACCTATCAGTTCAAACAATGCAAATTAGCATGCGTGCGCGTGAGCCCGCAATTGCCCATTGTTGCGTAATTTCTTGGAGGCTGGCTTACGTTTGGTGGACCGCACTTTCAGCACTTAATTAAGTTATGATAACTTATAGATCTAGTATTCGACAGCCAGGGGTGGGTGGAGGGTTTCAGGGGGCCTGCCCCCCTGGCTACAGTAATAATTAAGAAAACACACATAGATAGACTACATTCAAATCAATAATAAAGAGAGAAAAGAAAAGTGGACCAGGAACATTTTAAATAGTTGGCTCTGCCGAAGAACTTTAGTGGACCCACTTTGCCAGCCTAGGCTAAGCCTAAGACTAGAGATACCATGAGAGATAGAGGCGCGGGTGAAGTTTACCGGACCAGTGAAGAGAGGGGGAGACTAGATTGACCAATCAGCGCTTGGGTCTAGCCACTTGCGCGCACTCGAGGGCTTTGCCGTCGAAAAATCCGGCAGAAACTTTCAGTTGACTATATGTGCCCGAAGTGAGAGGATGCAGGCAAGGGAGGAAGAGCAGAGAGAGCGCGCTCGCGATGCTAGGCCGCGCAAGGAAGTACAGTGGACCAGCGCATGGCATCACACGACGCCCAAAAAAAGTAGTTCCGGCCCCTCCTAGCGGTGGGTCCACCAAAGTTCAATCTTACCTGATTATCATTGATTTAATTATGTAAAATAGGTAGGATATCGGGCTTACCGAGTTGTGGAGACCAAATTCATTGAAGAAACGTAGGGTAAGCCTTACAAAATACAAAAGTTCTTCAAATTCAAAACAAGCTTTCAATTTCATCCTCAGACCCCAGCCTCAGCCAATAATAGCACTTTCTTTTCATTCAGTCCATTCCAAGACCAAAATTTAAACATTGTCAAAGTGTACACTGACACTAGACTATAGTTAGGTCTATGTAGCGTAGTATAAAATCTGATGAGATTTCATGGTATTGCTGACTTCGCATGGTGCATTTATTTTAATTTTTCTATTCTTGTTGCAGAATGCACCAATTATTCTGTTGAAAGAGGGCACTGACACCTCACAAGGCAAGCCTCAGATTTTGAGCAACATCAGTGCCTGTCAGACCATCGCTGATGCTGTCCGCACAACTCTTGGCCCCAGGGGCATGGATAAACTCATTGTGGATGACAAAGGTAATCAATTTCCCAACCCTATTAAATTTTCTGAGGGCTGTAAGTTTCTGTGATATTGTAGGCAGATTTGCCAAGTGATTTGATAAAATCAGAGCCTACTGATTGGACTGGCATTAAGTTATATTTGATCTGTCTCGTACAGCTTACTGTAAACGAAGTGGCTAGTTGACGGCAATGGCTAGCCGTACTTAGATCAAAGTTTGGCCCTATTGGCCGAAACCTGTTGAGTCAATAGGTCTCATTAGATCTAATAATTATTCAGGTTTAAAATATATATGCATGTCAGTCAGTAAGGCACCTTTTGGTTTCGTCTGAAATACAAATACTTTAGGTATTGCAAACTAAAATTGTATTTACAATTTTCTTTCATCATTATTAAGAACGGCTAGCCTACCAATCGAGCTGTACTTAAACCTAGCCGTCTAAGTACGGCTAGCATGGCAGTCTGGCTGTACTTATTTTAGGCCCTATTAGAAACCTGTTGAGTACACAGGTCTTATTAGTTAATTATTCAGATTTAAAATACATGCACTGTCAGTAAGGCACCTTTTGGTTTCGTCCCAAATACAAATATATGCTTTAGGTATTAAGAACTAAAATAAATTAATTTACAATTCAATAGGCCTATTTTTTGCTGTTTGTCAGTCTAGCCATCATATAAGTACGGCTAGCCCAGCTGTCTAGCTGTCATTAAGTACGCCTGCCTCTTCCTACTGTAAACGACATCAAGATGTGCAGGTTCGTTTAAAATATTTGCATGACTTATTGTAATTGACATGAAAATACACATTTTATTGTATAATAATCTTTTTATCTAAGTCTAATTGGGTTGTGGAGACTGATTTTTTTTCCTCAAAATTTAATCCTACCTTTAGGGAGGATTGTGAAAACTCTCATGGCAAAAGAATTATAAGAGAACTGTTTTTGCTGTAACACTCACTCAATGGTAATGGTAATACAAGTTTGTTTTATTCTATTGCTGGTTAGTTTGTTCAGAGGAAGTTACTTTCATATTGTTTTCACTCTACCTTTCTTTGCTCACATTTGGTTTAATCAGAATTGTTGTTTTTGAAGAGCCATTTGCGTTTTATTTAATTAATTTTTTTGTTCAATATTTACAGGTGGTGTTGTTATATCCAACGATGGAGCAACCATTCTGAAGACACTTGATATTGTTCATCCAGCTGCGAAAACCTTGGTGGATATTGCCAAGTCTCAAGATTCTGAGGTATTTTCTGATGCAGAGCAAAAGGAAGAAAGCTATTTCTTTTATTTTCAATATTTTAATGTTAGATTATTCTATACCTTTAAAATTTTATATATGAAGATGTGGGGAAGGTGCGTATTTTGTTCTTTTTATACTTTGATAGCTATTGGGGTTTTTTTTTGTTGGAGATGTAGGCCTGCTGTGTCACTTAAATACTTTTAAGATTCAAGACGTGAAGGCTTTTCGTTTTCTAGTGGTATTGAATGTTTTTCTTTTTGAGTGTTAAACTAGAACAAGTTTCATAATTTATTTGTCTCTTAGTGGTGTCTAGGTGTAATGGTTGAGCTCTTCATGTGATACGTGTGTGAGTTTGATTCTGGCTTAGTATCTCTGCCCCTCTGGAATTTAATGTTCCACTCAGTGTAGGTTGGCCCTGGAAGGCAAGGTTGAAGCACCCACCACGTGAATGGTTTAATATGGCTTTAATAGATTTTATGGAAATACTTTTGTATTAGTGTTAGTTTCAAATTCAATATTCAATTATTTCAATTGCTTTTTGCTTGGTTATGTGGTGTTGGTGGTCTGTTGGTTAGATTTTGGGGTCCGTATTGGAAAGGTAGTGGGTTCAAATATCATGAGATGCCTGACGTTGCTCCTTCCTTGGCAAAGGCACTTTAAAGGAATATTCCTCACTTCACCCAGGTTGTAATGGGTACCTGACTATGGACAGTGAAAGATCTTGTCAGTTTGTTGTTGTTTGAATGTGTGTTGTCCCGATCTTGCACTGTATGCTTCCTGGGAAGCCCAGAATGTTTCTGAGTGTTTTAAGGTCTACTTGGGTAATTATAGAATAGATTGTAATTATGTGTATAGAGCTTGCTGTTGAGCGGAGATGTGCACTAGACGAAAAGGCTGTTATTATAATAATTTATCATTTTATCTATTCAAACTGCTTCCTCCACGAAGACATGCGTATAATTTTTGTTTATTTCTTTGCTGTGAAATTTGAAACTCTTCACTAACAATTTTTTAATGTTTCCCTCACCTTACTTGTTAATGGGCTGCCTCAGACAAAAAATGAAGAGATTGTGTAGTGGTACCAGATCAGTTTTCCTGGTGTATTTTCCTGCTTTGATAATTATTTTTGGTCTTGCAAGCATGTACAGTTAAAACTGTCTGAGACCGCCATCCATTGTTGTCAAGAACAAAAAATGGATGTCTTGGTGGACGTCTTGTATAGTGTCATGTGAAAAACCAAAATGCTAGGGAGGAAAATTGGAAGCGGTCATTTGTACGAGAGATTGTCTGATGCCGGTGGCCGTTAGAGCAGGTTTGACTGTATCTAAAGGCAGACTTCAAATTTATTCCATGAATTCTTTTGTTTCAGGTTGGAGATGGCACAACATCAGTTACGCTTCTTGCTGGAGAATTCTTGAAACAGTTCAAGCCCTTTGTTGATGAAGGTGTGCACCCACAGATTATTGTGCGGGCAGTACGCAAAGCCTTGGCCATGGTATGTTGTTAATATTGGGGTAGTTAGAGTGATATCAGTCTAAGTAATAAGTTTTGTGATTGATTTGCCACTCAGAAATTATTTTTGGTGGGGGGGGGTATTAATGTCAAAGAGGTTAGAGGCAGTATGTGCAGCTCTGAAAAGTTTGTCTAGGGCATTATTTTGGTGCCAAGCTCCTGGAATAGGAATGCTTGCTTTCTCGTATTTTTATTTCCAGATTGTCCATTTTGTGCTATGAGTAGTAGTTACTTAAGGTATAACTGGAGTTGTCTTATACCATGTATATATGAAAGAATGGTTCTTATGTTCAGAGTATAATTTAAATATTTTACTCATTTTAGGGGTAGTGGGAGGAATTGTGATGGTGCATCTTACATTAATGCACTTGAGAAAATTAGCTCCTGACTATTTCATCACTTAAACCGTCATTGTGTTTATAAATTTAGTCAGGTTTGGTTGAACCTGATTCACATTGCCAGTATAAGTGCTAAATACTCCATGTAGTATGTGTTAAAATGGAGTTCTTAGGATAGTCATCAGATTATGTTGTACTTTTTGGAATGGAGCTTGTTTTCATGCCTTGCTGAAAGTTATTTTGCTATGGATTAAGACTTATGTTGAATTGTTTTTTTATCAGGATATTGTTATGTGCTGTTGTTTTAAAGTTTAACACGCTGCTTGTCTGTCAGTGGCTCATGTTGAATATAATGCAAAGTAAAAATAGAGCAAGAAACAAAATGCTGCCAGATGCCTAGTTTTGACTTTGTTTCTACTACAGGCTCTAAAGAAAATTGGTGACATTGCTGTCGGAATCAAAAAGGATGACCCCAAGTAAGTTGTGTAATGCTTACTTGCTGTTTATGTTTCATATTTTTTTAAAGTTAATTTTGGCTTATTTATAGAATCTGCCATGTGGTATGTGGACCATGCAGTGCGTATCTTGTTGCAATATGGATAAGAAGTTATTGCCGTGAAATAAATGTTTCATATAACTTTTAAGTGATTGATATGTCCATAATTCTGACGGGGCCGACCTGTGTGTCATTAGTATGAAGCCATACATTGTTCAGACTTTAAGATTTAAATGAAGGTAGCATTCAATATTTGTAATAAGATGGGAGAAAAACAGATTTTCAGTTTTGAGCTTTTGAATTTATAAAATACAGTCAAACCTTTGTAAGACGGCCACCCATTGTCAAGGAGAAAAGTGGCCGTATAAGACAGGTGGCCGTCTTAGGCTCGACTGATCAAGATGATGAATACAAACCATTCCCATCTGAGATCCCAATCGAAAGTAGCCGCATTGTTGTTTTTGTTGTTGTTGTTGTTGGTGGTGGTGGTTTGTATTGTTTGTAATTTTTATTTTGTCGCTGATTTTGCACAAGGGTGACAATAGAACGAAATGTATCGGACGAGGAAAACCGAGTGCCATGTTAAAACAAACACATGGGTGGCCACCGCTCGGAGAACGAGCGACGCTTCTGTCACAAGTTCATGTTGACGTCCATTGCTACTTTGTTACAGACTGGGTAAACAGTGACCACTCATCTCACTTACGATTTGTGTACGAGTTCTGGGCAGGGCTTATGGGTAATGAGGGATCACACGCTTACCTCACCAGCAGTTGAAAATTGGTAGCTATTGGTCAACAGTGGGAGGGGCCAACGCAACATGACCGGTTGAAGGGACTACCTAACAACGACAGGTGATTGAATTGTGACGGCTCGCCCACAACGCCAGGGGCCAATGCACAATTTATGACTAAACGTAATGGAGTCACTAAGGTGGCCGTCTAAGACAGGTGTAATTGCTTAGTGTGATAGGGGTTGTGTGTTAAAATATGGTGGCCGCGTTGGACAGGTGCTCGTTTTACAAAGTTAAATTATATAGAAAAAACGCAAGGGGGGAAATGGAAAGTGGCCGTTTGTACAGGTGGCTGTTAGGGCAGGTTTTACTGTAGTTGATTTCGATTACGGTGTATCTTGGTTCATTGGTATCCTATATAACTTTTCAGAATTCTGGGCGTTTAGGTTCATAGGTAAACACAAATGGGAATCCCTAAAGCATGTTAGGTATTATAGTATACGCCTTGAAGGCCGGTAGTCGGATTTATTGTTTTGTAATAATGTGAATCAAAATTTAATTAAAAGCTTTTGACTTTTGCAATTTGATGAACAAAGAGTGGATAAATGTCGTTATAATTGTTGTGATACCAGCTGACGTGTGTGAAAACTTGTCATATTTCCAGAGAACTGAGGGAACTGCTGGAGAAATGTGCAGCAACAGCCCTCAGCTCCAAACTGGTGGCTGCCCACAAGGAATTTTTCTCAAAGATGGTGGTGGATGCTGTTCAAATGTTGGATGAGTTGCTCCCCCTCAACATGATTGGCATCAAGAAGGTCCAGGGTGGTGGTCTGGAGGTAGGCACTTTCATTGTTGTGGTTCTTCTCTTATTTTGAAATGCTTTGGACCAACTGTTAAGTGATGGTTCTGTTGAAGTTGACTACAGATCTTTCTGGCCTTTGGTAAATATCACTCATGTTCCATTTGTATTTTTGCCCATCCACAGAACACTTGTTTTGTTTAGGAGAGGGGTAGAAAAAAGTCTTAACCATTATTCTTTAGTAGCAATGCTCATAAAATATTGTGACTTGAGAAAAAAACTTATTTTAGTTGTACCAGATGACTAATAACAATGGTTAATGCACTTTGAAATTTAGAATGAATTGCACGGTCAATAAGAAAGATGTCAAGTGTTGAAGCCTCTGCTTTGTGACCTGGAATTTTTCCCTTTCTAAATGTATGGGGATTTTGCTGAGTTTGGATACTTAGCTGGTACATTTTTGTCTGTCTAGTTTTAAATGCTCTGATCTCCAATTTGGGGTGTGTGTGCTGTAAGGTTTCTTTGTTGCAGCAGACGTCTATTTTCATTTTTGTTAAAAACAGCGCTTTTTGAAATTTCCGCAACAGTATTGTGGAAAACACGCCCACCCTTGCTGCTACAGTGGTGTCTAGTTGTTGTTGGGTTTTTTTTGGGTGGGGGGGGGGGAGGTTGTGTTTACCGTTCCTTCGTTATTGGGTAGGTGTAACCGATTTGATAAGCACTAGAAATATAACTATTTAAAAGCCGAGCATTTTTGTCTGGCATTGTGTGGAATTTCATATTGACCTGTCTTTTTGATGTCTCCATTTGTGCCGGGATTTTTTGCTAATTCAAAATATTTACATTTTTCAGGAATCACTTCTTGTTGCTGGTGTGGCTTTTAAGAAAACATTCAGCTATGCTGGATTTGAAATGCAAAGGAAGAAATATTACAACCCAAAGATTGCTCTTTTGAATGTGGAACTGGAACTGAAGGCAGAGAGGGAAAATGCTGAAGTCAGAGTGGACTCTGTTGAGGTACAAAAAAGTCAAATTTCAGTATGTGCTAATGTCATTAGAAAGAATTTGATTTGAAAACTTATGTATAAAATTTTCTAAGTTTGTAGGTTGTTGCTTCTCTTTTTTTGACATCCCTAGCCTTTCTTGGAAAGATATGTGCCAACTCTTGTAAAATCAGTCAAAAAGTCTTTTCACATTGAACATTCCCCCCCCCCCCTCCTTTTATAGCTTTTCTTCTCTTCCGTATTCCTTACTATTGTTCAATGCCATTTGGAGTTTATATTTGAATGCCAAATTTTGCATTGCTTCCAGGAGTATCAAAGTATTGTGGATGCCGAGTGGAAGATCTTGTACGACAAACTGGAGAGCATCCACAAGTCTGGAGCCAAAGTGGTCTTGTCTAAGCTCCCGATTGGAGATGTGGCAACACAGTACTTTGCAGACAGGTAATGTGAAACTTTTTTGTTTTAACTCATTGAATCCTGGGCCTTTCCCGGTGGCTATTCACTGGTACCTAGAAAAAAGTGCTATGTTAACCCTAGAAGCGCTCAGCGTTTCACCGGAAGTAACCCGCCAAAAATGCCTCGCCGCCACGGCTGATCAGTTGTAAACATTGGGGTTTGGCGGGGGGGAAACAGCTGAGATACCCGAAATGTATACCTGCTACTGAAAAATGACCATTTACGACTCAACGGATGATAAAAAGCATATAAAAGCATATATTTTCTTTAAGCTGATAGAATGAGCCATTCAAATATGATTAGCGATCAAATAAATACAAACAAAGCTGAGAACGCGATAGACTCAACAATTAATACATCAGCAGGGCGAAACAAGTGATAACACATAGCGTGTAGTCACTCAGCGGGACCGCGTCACTTTATCGATCGATATCTCGGCCAAGAGACGCTCTACGAGGTCAAGATAACTTGCAAAGTCATTGGTCACTATTTATAACTTTGGCCTGTAATTGACTACGTCATTTCCATATAAGGAACACTGGAATTTTCCATTGAAAAGGGTCAGCGTCTATGCCCTTTATATAGGGCCTGCGCGCTTCCTGGTCGAAGTAGGTCAGCCTTATATATAGGGCCTGCGCGCTTCCCGGGTAGCCCGGCTCACGCCCTTTATATAGGGCCTGCGCGCTTCCAGGGTTAAAAAAAAATTTTGTTCACTTTTAATAAACCAAACAAGAAATTTATTTCTATTGCAATCTCTGTCATGTGGAAAATGGGATTGCTCACAAAACTTCCCGCTATTCACATACATTTTGCATACGCTTATATGGCTTATATCACTGCTCACCAATGACACTCTTTAGTAGCGAAACTTGTTACAAAAAATTAATTTTATAGTGAACACTTTCTTGCACTACAGGTTCTCAAAACATGTGTTCAATAAGCTTACTGTCGCAGTGAGAAGAAAGGGCAGACTTATTTTTTAAAGTTCTATGTCCAAGCTCATGGAATGTAAACCTTTTAAAATCTGTAGAAGCCACCCGTTATTTTTTTATTCTTGTTTATTGAGGAATTTTCCAGAATGAAGCTAGCGGGTGTTTAAAAAAATGTTGAACTAATAAGACAAATGGATACAAGTCATTTTGCAAAAGCTGGAGAGTTTATGTTAGATAAGTGTGGAAATATTTGATAAGTTGCACCGTAAATTTTTTACCACACTTTAGTTGACAGCTTAGCGTAATATTTTATTGAAAAACCATAGCTTTTGAATTTTGAATGCTGAAGCTGTACATCAAAAATTGATTCTATTTTCTGTTTTGTTTCCTCTCCAGGGACATGTTCTGTGCAGGCCGTGTGCCAGATGAGGACCTGAAGCGTACCATGAAAGCATGTGGTGGCTCCATTCAGACATCTGTACAGAACATGACTGCTGATGTTCTGGGCTCATGTGAAACCTTTGAGGAGAACCAAGTTGGTGGAGAAAGGTTAGTAGAATACACATTAAAAAAAATAAAAAATCCTGAAAGAATAATTGATTATTCTGCTTGTCTTTGGTGAAACATCTCATAGGTGTCTATATGGTTTTTCTAATAGATGAAACAGTAGGTGTCTGTACTTTGTCAAATGAATGACAAAGTGGCCTGAACTATTAGTAAGTTTGTAAGTTTTTGTATTTGAAAGTATGTTTGGGGGGGGGGTAGGGAGTGTGTAGAGTAACGGTAGAGTTTGGGCCACTGGTAGATTGTTCTGGGCACATTTTTCTGATCAATAATTCTTTACGTTCTGTCAGCTGAAAAAAAATTTATTTTTGGAACCCTTTGGCCCTCGACTCTCTATTTCACGGGCAGGGGTATGTAGTCAAAGTAAAAATGAGGTGCAGACTGTAGGAGTTATTCTCTTTTTAATTCTCTGTCGTTTTCTGTCTTTTTTTTATTGTTTCTTTTCCTCTTTAGAAATATGAGGTATGTGATATGAGGATGCCTGCGCAAGGTCAGCTTTTTATATAGTTTTTAGGTTTTGTAAGTCTGTCGTGCGCTTGCCCCCTAGCATAATACATAAATTTAGGGTGATGTTTATTTTTTCTCCCCCCAAGCACAAAATAGCTGTGGGTGGTTGATGGGTGCTCTGGTGTGGTTTACTTCTTCGTTTGTGTCAAACAACTTTCTTCCTTATATCTCCTTTTTTATGTTTGTTTCTCTCTTGTAACACCTATCTTTGGCATTTTCATGACTTGATAATGTTGCAATTGCCGTAAAACTCCTCCTACTACAAAACAAAATAGCTGTTTACTTTTCAGAATGTCTCCCATAAATTCTAATCAGGTTTTAATGTTACAACGGATATTTTTTGTTTTACAGGTTCAATTTCTTCAAGGGGTGTCCCCAGGCAAAGACCTGTACAATCATTCTTCGTGGTGGAGCAGAGCAGTTTATGGAAGAGACCCACAGATCCTTGCATGATGCCATTATGATCGTGAGGAGAGCAATGAAAAATGATTCAGTTGTAGCAGGTATGCAGTTCTTTTATATTTATTGTGTTACCACTTTTCCTCTTGTTATATATAGATTCGTTAGAATGGCTTCACCTGTTGTTTTTTTCTAAAAAAGATTTGCACTGTGTGGGTGGGCAGGCTTCTTTGTGTTGAATGTTTTCTCTGAAGTACACCAGAGTCTGATTATGTTTGCACACTCACAAACACCTTGGGGTGGCTAAAACATACGGGCTAGCTAAATCAGCGTCCGCGAGTAACGAACTACTCGCTGGCACTACCTGCAAACGAGCGGACGGGTAACGAACTGTCTGTTTGTGGAAAGTAGTTCGCTACTCGCCACACAATGGACAGAGACAACAGTTCATTTAGCGAACGAGCGGGCGGATGGAGAGGCTGCATGCGGGCGAGCGGGCAGCGACCCCTTCTACCTTCTATTGGATACTACTTACACCCCCCCACCCACTCACACACATTGTAACTAGGCGTTCATGGCGGAAATTTTTCTAAAAAAAACAACCCCAAAGGCCTTTGGGAATTCTTTAAGCTTCGACTTTGGGAATTCTTTAAGCTTCGACTTCCCGATAATTGGGACATAAACAGTGTTCCCACACACAAGGTGAAAGGTTACACTCATAGTACTACGTCACCAGCCTCTTCACTCCCTGTGGCACCGCTAGTGGCTTGAAACATTAGGCCTAATTAACAAACAATAGACGATGGGTCTAATCTCGCGTCGAGTATCTCGTCTGCTAGAGTTCGCTGCCCACTCAGAGAATAAAATTGTGGAGAGGATCTAAGAAACGAACTGACTTGAGGCTTGAGGTCCGCCGTCCACTCGCTGAGAGAGTAAAAGTGTGGAGCAGACCCAAAAAACCCCAACCGTGTTGAGGTTCGTAGTTCGCTCGCATGGCCGTCCGTTACCCGCTCGCTCTGACTGAATCCGCGAGTAACAAACCCGTCCGTCCGCTCGCCTCAACTCTACTAAAACAGCAGCTGGACATGGATGACTGGTGCCTGTATAAATAAATTATTGATGGTCAAGGACACACCTCGTGATTTGATTATAATAATAAATAGCATTTGTATAGCCCATATCCCCGCTCAACAGCAGGCTCTATGCACTTTACACTATATTATTACCCTAGCAGACCATAGAACACTCAGAAACATTCTCAGCTTCCCGGGAAGCATACAGTGCAAGCAGCTGATTAAGCGCTTAAACACTAACAAACTGACAAGATCTTTCGCTGTCTATAGCGGGGTACCCATTCCCCCCTTGGTGAAGTGAGGAAAATTCGTGTAAAGTGCCTTTCCCAAGGACACAATGTCGGGCCCCTGACAGGATTCGAACCCACGACCTTACGGTTGCGAGTCCGAGAGCCTAACCACTAGGCCACCAACGCCATGATTATAAAGTGTACTGGATGTGCCTAAGCTTCACCTAAGGAGAGTATTGCAACGTTTGGTAAGGAGAAAATAGTGTGCTAACTCTGAAACTGGATTGTATGTAGTTTTCATGATTTGAGCTGAGACTGTCTGAGATCTAGATTGTGTACTTAGAAGAAGCACAGATCTAAAAAAAAAAAAAAAAAAAAAAAAAGAAATTTATTATGTTTGTAAATATTAATTTTTTTTCAGTTTCACAATTGTCCATTTCTCAGTGGAATGTGATTGTTTTGGTGTGAACTTGTGTTTTAGTGTGTCTCAACAATGTAAAACAATGTCATTTTTTTTTCTATTCGTCACCATCAGGGGGTGGAGCCATTGAGATGGCACTGTCAAGTCACCTGAGGGAACAGTCGCGCACCATTCAGGGCAAGGAGCAGCTGCTGATTGCAGCTTACGCCAAAGCCCTAGAGGTCATCCCAAGACAGCTCTGTGATAATGCTGGGTTTGATGCGACCAACATCCTGAACAAGCTGAGACAGAAGCATGCAACAGGTGAGCCATCCAGTGTTTGTATAAAGAGTATTGTTGGACAGGTGTTTAGATGTAGAAAGCCCAAAAGTTTAGAATTTTAACAGAATGGCAGTTTTTTAGTCTGTTGTAAGTGTTCCATAAATTTTTTGTTAATATTCAAATTCTAAATGCTGAAAAAAAAGAACCCCCCCCCCCCCCAACAGGAAAGGCTTGTATACAACAACAAAAAAAAAGCAATATTATAAAAGCCCAAAACTGTGTAAAGATATACTTCTTGTGCAGAATAGACATTAAAAACAATAGCGGAGACATTCAAAGTTTTCTGTCAAAAATGTTGGAATGTCAATTACACTTCCAATGCTCTCTCTGATACCTGTGGCTAGCTTAGTCAACCTATTGTGTACGTTTGTACAGAAGAATCTATAGCGGGCCTTACCGGAGTCGCCTTTTTTTTTCTTTTTTCTATGTAAACTCAATTACCTGTGCCAGGGTATAATGGGGTAGGGAAAATCCCGAACTTGGATGCAGCGGGAGAGGTCGAGCGAACTCTAGCTGGGGGGGAAGGGGGTTGGGGGCTGTAGGCAGGCTCCAAACAGGCTGTCGGTGGTACTGCGTTGTGATTGGCCAATCCAGTGGTAAGTGAGGTGGGGGCAAAGGGCAGAGAGGGATGTCTAAGATGGCCACTGTAATCCTCAACAATGGGTGGTTTTCTTAGACAATTTCGACTGAATCTGAAAATTTCGTTGCCTTCATAGATTGTCTGCTGGTGCAGAAATTTGGGCTGTTAAATGAAAGACGCCCTTGAAAGAGGACTTATGGCTCCCTTGGAAATTACTACCAGTTGTGGAATGAGTATTGAAAAGAGAAAGAGTATTTTATTTGGAATTAACTCTTTTAATGTATCTGTTTATACCTGCGTTACATAGTTAGGCAGCGTTTTCTTCCTTTGAGCTCTTTTCCGCAGGCCTAGTGGAAGTATGTCATGCTTAAATTTACAAACCTTTTATGCCATCACAATAATTGTGTGACTTGACCAGGATACAATTCTCACCGTCTATATTCTTGAATTTCACAGGTTCAAAGTGGGCCGGTGTGAACATAATGCAGGAAGACATCTCTGACAACTTTGAGGCCTTTGTTTGGGAGCCTGCTATAGTCAAGATCAACGCACTGACTGCAGCTTCAGAAGCCTCATGTCTCATCCTGTCTGTCGATGAAACAATTAAAAATCCACGATCCGGACAGGAAGGAGGAGCACCCATGGGCAGGGGAAGAGGACGTCCTATGTAGATATCACAATGGGTCTTCGCATACTTATTTTTAAAAACATAGATATCTCGCTTGTGATGAGCCCTGAACATTTTGTACAATTTTTTTTTTTGTATTTAAAACCAGAGACAACACTTCAAACAAAAGCAAGATGGGCATTTTGATTTTGTAATCATCATCTGTGCTTACAGGGAAGCCTCATTTCCTATTTGTACATGTCATTGTGTGTGCTGGATTTATTCTGAACGTGTGCATGGTAGTATGCAATAAATGTGAGTTTTTTCATTTTACTTTAGTTTCCGAGATATTTATTTAAAGCTGGCTGTGGACAGCAAATATGTGTTCTCCATCCCTCTGTGGTCTCCTTGCCATCTCTGTGTTTTTTCTCAAACATGTTTTTTGTGGGTGGTCCACTATGTAGGTGCTTTTCCTTCCCATGAAGCTGCACCTCGTGCTCTGTTGTCTTTGCAGTCTAAATATTTTGCTGTAGGTTACAAGATTTCCGTGGGTGGTTGGCGGGTGCTCTGGTGTGGTTTGCTCCTTCTTTCCTATGAAATATCTATCGTCCTTACCTCCCCTTCTTCTTTTTTGTTTGTTACTCTCTTGTAACACCTCTAATCTTCTGGCGCTCATATGACCTTATGCATTTGCGAGTGCTGTAAAACCTCTACTAAAACTAAAACGAGATTTCCTGTTTTTTGTCTGCTGTTTACTCTGTGCCACTTACAGTTTTGTTTTCTTTGGGAAGCAAGACCAAAAAAGGCTAGTAGATGTTGGCAGGTTTTCTGATTTGGTTTGCTCCTTCTTTTCTGTTAAACATCTGTCGTCCACATGTCCCCTCTTTTTTGTGTTTGTTACTCTCTCGTAACACTTCCATTCTTCGGCACTTATATAACTTTATTGCGATGTTGCAACTGCTGTAAAACATGCACAAAAACAAAGGCTTCTAGATGTACAGTAATACAGTGGATTCTCAAACGGAACACGGTTTATCCAAAAACAACAGTTAGCGGAGGGAAAACAAAATCCCTGACTTTTTCCTTTGTCTTCGTAAAAAAACTATTGAAAAGTTGGAATGCTCCCATATCTCTCTCTTGCCCTTTTTAACTCCCAGTGGAGCATAGGCCATCAACACCTCTCCAGTGAAATGCTCCCATATTCTACACCAAAAAGAATGTTGACACAATCTTCACTTGCAACTCTCATCAAGTGTTACCTGTTTCTTGATACAGTGAAACTTGGATATATTGAAGTTATCGGGCCTGACCTTCAGTTTGATTGAATCCGAGTGTTCGTTATAGCAAACATGAGGTTTTTGGGTAGATAATTACAGTAGCAAGTTCAAGTAACGTATAAAGGAAGTAACAATTGGTACCTATATGCCTGCTTTTTTGCCCCTTTTCGACTTGCTCAGTCGAAATTTTTTTGGTTTTTAGTGAGAGGCATTTTCATTTCTTTGATGCCATATAAACCGCTGCATATTATATCGAAATGCTGGAAAATTCAAGCGCTCGCAAATGCATAAGATCATATGAGCGTGCGGGACACATTCATTAAGCCTTTTCAGTTTCGAAGAATTTCGAATTTCGCCCGGGTGCTGGCAGAAACCTACTCTTATCGCTTTTAGGACCACTAAGGGATCTTCAGCATGCTCTGTGCAGGTAAATTGGATCTCCAAGATTTTTTCGCCCTTACATGAGAAGGAAAGGTGTTTGATCTTACCTACCCTTAGATCAGGGTGTGGCTGAAACACAGCAGTGAGGAGCCAAGGAGTAGCAGCAGAAGTAAAAAGTCGGGAGCCCAGAGGAGGGAGCAGAAAATGAGTAGAGAGCTGGACAGGAGAACATTTTTAGAGAAGAAAAATTTCCCATCACTGTCACGTTTCGAACCTGGGACCTATTGAATAAGAGGGAAACACTGTATCTCTCGAGTAGTCGAGGAGATCCGCCTACATTGAATTCTACTATTAAGCACACACTGTGCAAAAGGGCAGATGTGTTCAAATGCACGCCTGTGTCATCTATCATGTATGAAGTATTGTTTGCCGAACAAGTTGTATTGCTGTGTAGGACCTAGTGGTACAAGACTAAGTACATGTATATGGCAAAGTTTGTATCTGCAGACCCGTGTGCAATTCATATGTAGATTATGCCAAAACGAGCCTATCATTTTACAGTGGAGTCCACTTCTGACGAGTCCTGAAATAACGAGAAGTCTGTTATAAAGACACTATTCGAAGACCCCGTTTTTTCCCTTCTTTATCTTTGTAAACGCAACGTACCACAGGGTGGGATGGGGGACAACACAGCGGGCGAGTTGGCCTAGAGCCAGAGCCCCTTCTTTCGGATCGCCAGCGCCGAGCTGTCAACATTGCTAGTGCTAGAGAAAGAAACCTGATTCGATTTTTGATCAAGTAAGACCTAGAGATCATGTTGAACAAAATCATCATATGGGGAAATACAAAAAGGAATAAACAGAACACCAAACTCATAGAATTGGCCTTCTTTACTATTTCCCTTGAATTTATTACTGGATCCCTTATAACGAGAATCCTGCTATAATGGACATTTCGCACCGGTCCCCTCCCTCTCGTTATAACAGGATCCCACTGTAATATATTGATTAGTAGCCGGGGGGAAAAATGACGCGTTTGTATCTCTCCTGGCATTCCACCCACACCCCGACCGCTTGTGCCCCTTTCCCCCCGACATATGCAAACAGTGAGTTATGTGTGTGTTCGTATGAAAGAAAGCCACTAATTGGTCGCCTAAGATATACACAAAAAAAGGCTAAATGAATGATGGTTCACGATGTAGGGTGCCCTAGATTGTTTACCGGAATAGAATAGACAAGGTTCATTGCAGGAGAAAAATGAACAAGCCACATCAGCTTTGTTGAATCTGAGCTTGCTCATTTATGTATTTGTTGAATCTGCGTTATTTTTGTTTATTTAAAAAAAAAAAAGGGGGGGGGGGGGGGGGGGGGTCCATCTCCTTTTGAAACAAGAGTTCCACTGTAGCAAAACAGCAGTAAGAGACACTAGAATGCATGTATGTTGATTCAAAGTCAGAGAGAAGCACCCCCAGTGTACTGTTTGCCTACGTTTATTACACACAACAATGGGCCTTCACATTGTGTATAGGCCCAGTGAAGCAAGGACAGCGAATGTATGTTTGACTTGATTTTTGATTAATCATGGTCTATTGTCTTTTAAGAAGTTAGTTCACATACCCACATAGGCCCTACACATGAACATGTGACAGCATGTGTGTTTCATGATATCTCTGGCATCGGGCGTTCTCATTCTAGACTAGTGCAGAGCATAGACTAATCTACTTTTGTGTGCTTATCTACTTTTTGAAGTTTTTTGTCTATATTTGTGTGATTGTTAGGTAAATTTAGCTAGCTGACATTGTCTAACAGAAAGCGCAATGCGCATAGCTTGCAGCTCGATTTACTGGTTACTAACATGGGTTGTTGGTGGGTTCTCTGGTGTGGTTTGCTCCTTCATTCCTGTCAAACATCTACATTTATTGTTCTTATCTCTCCTCCTATTCTTTGTTTATTAATTACTCTCTAGTAAGTGGGTGGTTTGCGGGTGCTCTGGTGTGGTTTGCTCCAAATAGCTCCTTCTTTACTACCAAACATCTATTGTCCTTATTAAATCTCTCCTCCTTCTCTTTTGTGTTTGTTACTCTTGTAACACCTTGTTTTTTGTTTTTTTTTGTAAGTGTTTTACGGCGCTCGCAACTGCGTAAGGTCTTATGAGCGCATGGAACACATTAAACCCTTTAATTTGGTAGGGAATTTTGAATTTAGCCGGGGTGGCGGCCGAAGCCTACTCTTATCGATTTTAGACCTCCAAGGGATCTTTAAACATGCGCAACTTGCACTTGGGTCCTCCAAGATTTTTTGTCCTGGTCCGAGAAGGCAAGGTGTAGATCTTTCCTACCAGAAGATCAGGGGTGTGGATGAAAGTGAATGACAGCAGTAAGAAGAAGCCAAGGAGTAGCAGTAGAAAGGCTGCAGAAAGAATCGGGAGCCCAGAGGAGGGGGCAAAGGAGGTGAGGGGGTTGGGGCAGAAAGAGGAGACTAAAGCAGACGACAGAACATTGCTAAAGAATAAAAAAGGAGACAAATTTAGAGAAGAAAATTTTTCTGTCGCTACCCTGATTCGAACCAGGGATTGATTGAGAGGCCAAACACCTCTAGGCCACGAGAGCCCCCCTAACATCTCTAATCTTCGGCACTTATATTCTTATATATGACCTTATTGTGTAGCAAATGCAGTAAAACTCTTGCCAAATGTAAACTAAACTCACTTTAGTAATGCCTCTATCATCGGTCTATTATGACCTACTTTTGTTGCAAGTGCCATAAACTCACTAAACCAAACAAATCTTTACGAAAAGAGGTAGATGACAGCAAAAAACAAAATAAAAACAATGACATTTGCCGCAACCCTTTCTAAACTGAAAAAAAGTCTGACAGTGTCGCAGATTTTGGTTTAAGCACACGCCACTGCAGTTTATTTCTTTGTTATTCTGCCCAGCTCCACCCTTATTCTTTAAATTGAAAATGGTTACTGGAACCAGGTGGATTTCTGGGGTTTTAATTTCTCTGAAGATTTTATGAGTGTAAAACAAAAGTAAACAAGCAATATGACATTAAATGATGAAAGAAATCTTTTATTTGGAATCTGGAAGTGGTACACATGTGTTTATTATTATGCTTTTCGTAGGCAAACTTCCACATAAAAATGGCAAGGCTCACATACTCTACATAGTTTAAAGTTATAGCAAAACATGATGCTCAACTTCTCTAGCACCACTAAATGAAAAACTAAAGCTGTGACACATGCAATGTCTAGTGTAAATTAAGTAAATAAACCAGCAACAGACCACCCATCGTCCGTTACCCAACAGATTTTTTTGGACTGAATGGGTCCACAACACAAATTTACTGCTAATAAATCGGAATGAGTCAAAATCTTTCCAGTCCAGTCAACATTTTATATGATAGACCTAAGCCTTATGTTGGGACCAAATACTGGTTTTGTAATACGGGGCCTTTGTAATATCACACACAAGGAATGCAAAGACTATAATGGCTGGTCAATAACAGAATCAATCTAAATCACAGGAGAAATGGGAGCTCAGGGTGCCAGCCCACAGACCGCAGAAAGCAATGGAATTGGAATGGTACACAATTTTCCATCATTCATTATAATTATCCGTGAAAAAAGGTGCAATGGACAGGATATTCATAGCCTTGTATTGCTTTGCAGCAGTTTCTGCACCCATATACTACATCTATGCAACAGACAGTCATGACAACCTACAAAACAGATCCCTTACCGCATGCGCTTTTTTTCAACGTTGTCAGTAAGTGGAGATACTTTTTCATCTCATGTTGAATGTTCGCTCTTCCAATTTAATGCGAAACCACTTTTCAAAGAGATGAGTGTGTGTGTGTCTGTGAGAGAGGGAGAAAGACACAGAGATAGATTGATACACAGATGATAGAGAGACAGAGTGAGAGTGCTGTCTGACTTTCCCAGTTGTGTGACGGCTGCTGTGGTTTATAACTACTGGCAGAAAAAGATTCTTGTGAAACTTCCAAAACGCGTGATCTGTACATTACGAGGTCAACCAAACGGACAGAAATGCACTTGTGAAAAAATTTCCACTGTAAAATGTTAATGGTCTGTGGGCGGGCAGCCTCCCTGAATAAGTTCTAAAAATATATAATAATAATATTTATCCCAAGACTTGCGCGTTCAGCTTGGACAATAGAAAAGATAGCAGTGTTTTAAAAGTGATATCGTTACATAATCAAGAATTCAATGGGAAGGTAATTTGTGGTGTATTTTAGCAAAGTTGATAAAAGAACATCAAATGGTACAAATCATCATAGTCATCATACAGTCAATTGGTAATAGCAAAAATTTACTTACTATAAAAATACATTGTGCTTGATCAACTTCGCAACTCATCCTTTGCATTCTCGACTAATCATCTTTTCATTCACTCACACTCTCAAGCGACATTCCTTTTCTGTGAACGTATCTGTTTCAGTGTAGTGTGTAGACAGGCACAAGCTTAATCAATATAATCATGCACATAATTAATTGTATTTTTGAGAAGTATCCCAGGCTTTGGGTTATAAACGAGGGATTGAACATAAATAGTGATTTTTTTTTCACTTTTAGAAAATGAAATAGCACATATTTCAAGGTCCTTTTTTCATAGGAATATATGAACATTTTACAGCAGTAGAATTGAATAAGAAAAATATATAGAAAAACATTTTGAGCAGTGAAATATGTTTCACAAATGCACATTAAAATAAAAAATTTGACAGACACCTACAAAGTAAAAAAATTAACAAAAAGTGGCATAAGACGCAATTGTGAAAATAAAAAAGACAAAGGTTAATTTCTGCAGAACACACACAAAAAATTCTAAAAATTAAAAAAATATTTACAGTACAGGCATTGAAACACCCTGAAAAATTGCACTCTCAACCTAGACCATAACACAGAGCTGACTTACTTTTATCATTTCCTCATGGGACTGAAAAATTGCCCTCTCAACCTAAATCAAACCACAGGATAGACTTTATTTTCTCCTCCAATTTTGCTGAGGATGACATATTGTTTTTTTAAAAAAAAGATGATGACTTCAAATAATTTGCCAAATTTAGTGTGGTTTCCTGGGGTTTTCCATCACAGTGAAACTTAACAGACATGACTTGCTCTTGATCTACTGATTATGCACACTCTCAGAAGCCAGCCCACAGTGTGACAAGACAAAGTCACAGATGGAGTCCCCAAGGGAGGGGGTGAAAGGGGCAGAGGGATCTCTCGAAACAGAACTTTTCCATGTCTATTGCTTGACAGAAGAACCCTAGTCATTCTGGATATAACTTGAGGAAATTTCACAGCACTATAAAGAAATATACAGCTAACTGAGAGCTGAGAGCAAATATGATACGAGTACGAGACACCCGGAATTTTTAAAGAGCGACAGAACTTGACTAGGGTTCTCTTTATACAAAGTAAAAAGCTCGGCATTTTCTTTTGGTCTTTTTAACACACTGCCAAGCCAATTTGCTTTCAAAATACAGAGGAAGAAAAACTTTCTACCTTTTAACTTAAGTTAATATAAGAAAATATTACAATTTCTCTTACAATATTTTTGCTCTTTCATGACAGTTTTCAGAGACAAGACAAAAGCATTTTGCATAGATTAACATAATATATCCACTGGACTTCTGCACAAAGCACAAAAGCTGAGTCTTCATCAAAGTTTTCAAACAGCCAAGTTACAATTTAGAAAATCAAACTGACACCAAATCACAACCACAGCATGGGACATGCTAGTACCCAATTCATTAAGCTTTGCGCTTTCATGAACCATGGTTTGAGAGCATATCGACGGCTCAGTGTAAAACTCTGTCATACATAACTTTTCAAAATGGCATATGGTGGAGTCTTACACTAAGCAGCTGATATATTCACTGAAACATATAAGTGAACCGTTTTTTAAATTGCCAGACATGTAATGATTGTCACAGTAAGTGACAGTATAATAAGAGGAAAGATAATCAATGCGGTGTAGTTCCCCTGTAGTAAATTTGTACAAAATAAAGCTTTTCTTTGCATGACAATAGCTTAAATCTCAATTCCACAGAAAAAAATTTCGCTTCACACCATTTTTTTGATTTGATAAAAACACAAGCTGTACTTTAAGCAGAGTCCACACAGCATTGTACATGTACGTATCACTTTGTAAATATATTGGAGTCTGCTTAAATCGAACACAGTTAATAGATCTGAAAACAGCCTTAAACCGAAAGAAAACATCCCTAATTTTTTTCTTACATTTGAGTAACCACTTTAAACCAAAATCCGCAGAAAATCTGGTGGTCACGCAGATTTCTGTTTAAGGCTGTTAAGCGGACCTCATAGTATATTGTTATTGTAAAAAAAGGTAGCAACAAAGCCCAGAGCTTGCAATGCAAACGAAGTTAAAATGTGACCTTTCATAAAACCCCTTCCAAGTGGGGCAGAAGAGATGTGTGTGAAGAAGGTGATGGAGACAAAAGTTCTGAGGATGTTCTGTGCATATATAATGGTGGAGTCTGCTTAAACCAAAATCAGCAGGAGCGCCGGATTTCCTTTTGGTTTACCGCTGTTTTCAGATTACTGTGTTCGGTTCAAGTTCAAGTGGACTCTACTATACACCCTGTTTGGCAGTCAGGAGGACAGCTGTTGTAAGTTCCTTATGGTCTTCTCAAGAGCTTGCAGAATTTCTATCAGTTACCAACAGTGTGTGAACTTTTGCAAGTTTCATTAGGACTCACTTAACCAAAGTCCATTGTACACTATGAAATCCAAAAACGAACAACAAAGCCAGCATGCTTTAAAAAAAGTTGGCATTGAATATTGAATGGCATAAAAGCACTTGTGCATAATACAAACAGAAGAAGTGATCTCACAAAACTAACAACACTAAAGTGAAGAACATTCCCCCCCCCCCCGATAAACTACAACCACCAAAACAATTTTAATATGGCATATGACAGTCCCAAACCTGTATAAACACAAAGGGAAAATGTAAACAGACCCTTGTCACTAGTCCCAAGCCTGTAAAAACTGGGTAGACTGTCAACGAAACCAGTTGTCAAACAAGTATGGCAGCAGACCATCGATTGAGCTAGAAACATCGCTGTTGACTGTCAACTAAACGGGTTGCCACATCCAAACCACTTCTTAAAAAGCCAAGAGTTACTTCTCTGCCTCATCTAGTAGCAAGAAAAAAGTTAATTCGGTACTTTCCAATTTAAAAAAATGAACCCTGCAAAAAACACCTGTTAAACTTTTTACCCTCTCAGACTTTTTGGCGTGTAGCAATGAAACTGACATGTGTATCACTTGCTAAAGAGTATGCTACACATGTGACTGACAATAAGATCTTGTCTAGAGAGTCAAGCAGATATACGTATTGATTGTCAGCTCTTAACTGAGATGCACAACAAAAGACAACACCCAAAAACCCTGCCTATATATATCCGTTGAATAAAACACATATCATCTACACACATTTTGATTGACAATAAACATTCTACTTGTGATATGATATTACTTGGTAAAAGCAGATATTTCATTTACTCATTAAGACTGAACTGGCCATATATATCTGGCAGTTTTTAAAATTACTTTCCTGACATCGGTAAGAAAAAGAACGAGGGTAAAAGCTTTGACATTTCTAAACCAGTCTCATTCATTACGCCACACAAGAGCTAAACCATTTTTCTCAGCCTGTGAATAAGAGGTCATTCCAGTTCAAGTGTTCTGGTAGCTTAAAATAATCTAACCCCCCCCCCCCCCCCCCCCCTCATATTCCGTTTTCAAGTTTAAATCCTCACAGAAAAACGGTTGGTATTTGAGTAAGAAATAAGATGTGTTTTGGTTCATGTTTATGTACACAACAAGGAACACAAAGAGGAAGCCCATTCACTTCTACCTTTGCTTGGACCCTCTACAGAATTTTTTTTTTAACACCGCCTAAAAATATTGCATCCTCCTGTGCGAGCCAGGAATCTGAGTGCACAGTCTCAGCAAGCTAATCATGAACATGTTAACAATGAAAATATGGAGTACCGCACTAGAATGTCGACATAGCAGAAGAAGAATCAATGATATGAACAGCCTTAATTGCACCCTGATTTCAAGTAACTCACAAACATCACAGATAAGTACAAACCAAAGCTCCAAACAGGAAGCAATACATTGCTTTTTCTTTTCTCCTTTCCTACTTAAATGGCACCATAAGAGTCCATCCTTTTGTACCTGCGGTGACTCAACATGCCCTTCATCCTTCTTCCCTGGACAGCTAATCCCACACTGACCATGATGAAAAGAATAAAGAGCACCATGAGAAGGGAAAAGGTCAGCGTTTCCATCGTTGCTTCAGGGTACTCGGACGGGTAGTCACCACTCTCGTTGAGGACAAAGCCCAAGGTCCAGCCGACTTCTGTGCTAAAGATCTGAAACAGACATCGGGTACAGAGGTCATTGCAAATGCATGGTATTTACTTGGGGGGGGGGGATGCTGTAGGTGTAAGAAGAGATCCAGTAATAATAATCTCCGAAACTTATAATTTATCTATAAAATAATAATCCAGAAAACAATAAACAATTTGTTTACGTACTGTAATTTCCAGTGCGTAGCTGTCAACTTTTCAAAACCAAAAGAACACCCCCAGACTCTAAGTACACGGCCGGTCAAGATGGTGGGCATTAGGCTAGACCAGTAAACCGCCCCCAAACCCTCCACACACACTTTTTCTACATTCACTAAATTTAAGGTATCAAAAGCAGACCTGCAACAATTAAGTCAGAAATGTTTAGTAAAGGTCTCTCCATTTGATGTATGGGCTTTGTTATCATTATTATTAATTCGCAAATCCTGTTTTGAAAGTTCATAATTTTTCTTTAGCATTGGCAAGGTCAGGTGTATCTTCTGACACAAAAACAGACTTCCGTACTCAGACCTTGAAAAATATATTGAATAAATTTCTTACAAACTGGTCAGTAGCTATATGCTAGTGTAATAGTGACTCACTGTTGTGTGTGCCTGTTAAACAAGGCTCTTTGTCCGAAAGGTCAAATGTGAAATTTTTCACAATTAGTCTTTTAAACAAGCTTTTTTTGTGGTGTTTACTAATGGACCAATACTGAAGTCAAGTGAGAAGCCCATAAGCCGTGTACTTTCACAAGAGGAAATGAAGCTTAGACTTCAAATGTTCAAAATATGGCAAACTTTGCTCTGCCAGAATTGGTCTCTTTGGCCATTGCAGAGGACCCAAATGGTCTAAGAGGTCTTAATCCTTATTTCTCGTATTCCTCTCTAGAAATGTTTTCCTCTGCAGATACATTGGTCATCACCAGACATTAAGGGGTGAACTATAATTAAACAATTTGCCGATCATCATTTTCATGCTTTTGTCTGTAAAAGGCAAGCAATGGTTTAGATCCACAGCTTATTTCAAACAGTTACAAAGGATGAAGCTGCCCAATTTCTATAATCCACATTCCCCATATTCCCTGACTTAATGAAAAAGGAGAAGTTGCATTGTTTAGCATTTTTTAAAACATAGATTTGTTTAGATATGAGTGATGAGTATGAAAAAGTCAAGACAAAAGTAACTGAATTCCCAATTTACAATTTTTTTTAAAAATCCTCAAAAGGAGTTAACTTTAAATGGCTACAACATACCTTGTTCACGAACTGGATTCCCTTCCAGGAAGCATCTGTGAACTTGTATCCATCATAGAGCAAAGTGTTCATGTAGACAGACTGCATGCAGTACCAGGGCAAGTTCTCTTTTACCTTCCCTTTGGCTGGTATCTCTTGAACCTGTTATGGGCCATAAAATGAAAGTATAATCGAAATTGTCTAAGATGGCCACCGGCAGTCGAGGAGAAAAGCGGTTGTCTTAGACAGGTGGATGTCTTAGACAAAGTCATCATAACGTAAAAAAGAAAAAATGCAAGGGGAGAAGTGGGAAGTGTCTGTCTGTACAGGTGATAGTCTTGGACAGGTGGCCGTTACGGCAGTTTCGACCGTACTCTCAACTTACTGTCAATCATTATGGAGCCTTGTATTTTCAGCCAAACATAGATCTAATAGTACTTTGTACTTTTCATTTCCACGTGTTCTGCAATTCATAGAGGTGCTTACTGCTCTTTGCCAACAATAAAGACGCTTTGCACTTCCTGCCCAACATAATGGCACTATTTACTTCAACATCGTCCAGCCGTAACATGTGTCAGACTTTTAAAAAGAAAACTGTCTCTTTCACCAAATTTAGTTTTAACTTGTTACAATTACTTAATGCATGTATGCACACTTAAATGTGTCTTTAACTAGATGTTTTGAAAATGACAAAATGTAAACAGTTTTCACATACTTCACATGCAAGATTTTTATAAGCCTACGTTTGTCCTTTTAAACTTGATACGTTTTGACGGAAATGGAAACCATAAACTTTTCCTGGGGCTGACATGACCATTACTGTGCCTATAGCGCTATAAAACGCCTACCACATCATACCATTTGTTTTACTCTCTGCCAAACAGAATAGCTCTTTGCCAAACAGAATAGCTCTTTGCATCTGCATCCAAACATGATTGCAACTCTAAAACACCATGATACCATGAGCTTTCTAAAGAACATGCAGGAACTTGACAATGACAAAAACAATCTTTATTCATCTCACGGGGAGAAATTTGTCTTGGTCGTTTACAATAGCAAAACCACACTAGTGATATCAAGACTGAGCTATGATAGCAGCATTTGACAGTGAACTCAAATATGAAATTATGGTCAACACTTACTTCTTTCCACGTCATGCCGCAGAGGGAATTGATAGCGCTGTCAAGTTTTTTGTGGTCAAAAACAGAACTGTTGGTGGTTAGATTCAGGAAAGCCGAAATGTAATAGTAACTGGAAAATGCCTGAGGAGTAGAAAATAATACCTTTTGAAGCACCTGAAATGTGTTGTTTCTCAGATATTTACCATTCATATGTAAAAACCGTTCTCACATAACATTCATGTGAGAAAGGCCTCACAGCTTGAATATGTTGTTCTATTTTGAACCATTTTTATTCAAAGGAACAGGTCATATTCAAAATTACTCCTTAGAGTTATGCCTGTAGTTATTGGGGTTATGCATTTCTGTCCCATGACACTGAGTCTGAGTATAAACAGAAGTAGTAAAAGTGAGTTTGAGCAATCAAAGAGTAAGACATTATGTTCAAGCACTTCAATAAAAATGATAAATGAGCACCTTCACCTGTAAGTACTTAGATAACATGGTGTCCAAATTAGTAGTACTATTAGTTCCCCTTCATACGAGAAAAATAAACCCTATAATGTTCCTTTTCTTTCTTCAATTTTCCCCAAACTGCACAGAAACACCGAAGGGAAAAAAAAACAAGTAAAAGAACCTACCAGTGGTACCCTCCAACCACCCGCCCACACTATCACTTACAAAGAATGATCCTGCGACTTCTGGCTGGTAGACTCCGTTGAAAGAACAACTGGAGTAAGGGCAGCCTGTGAAGTTGAACAATGATGACTTCACCAGATCAGTGCATTGGCTGGTATTGCTCTCTCCTACAAATGTGATATTCTGATCCTGAAATCACATAATTCAGATAGAGAAAATTAGGGCGCACAGAAGCTTTTGTAACAATTCAAATGTTTCAAAATCCATCATAAACAACTTTGGTTTAAATTCACAGTTTACATCAATTTAACACCTGTATTATATCATAACAATAACATCAGTATGATACTTAATAATACAAATTGAGACTTTACAACCACAAAATAACCTTTATGTCCCATACCTTTCTAACCCTGTCTTTCAGTTTTATCTCCATGTCTCATAGCAAAAAAAGAACCCTCAGGAAACTAAACAATAATTCTGCTTCGAAATCTTATAAATGATAAGTCTCTGGGTGGTTTTCACAGTCCACAATAATCGTGAGCATTCCCATCAGTCACAAGCAACTGGAATTCTTTGTTTGGAATTCTTAAGAGAGTTAAGAGAAAGAGAAAAAAAAAAGGCTGAGACCATTGACCAAAAAAGAGTACAGCAATATATATATATATTGAAACACAAGTTAATTTTTTTACCAGATCAACGTCTCCACTTGGAAGGATAGAAGAGCCAAAAGACTGTTTGCCAGCAGATCCGGACACACATGGAGATGCAGTTATTTCTTTGTACGTTTTCGTAGTATTGAAACCGCTGGGCAGGCATGGGTGCTCGATCTGAGTCTCATTCACATGCTCCTGGAGAAGACAAGTCATTCTGAGAGACATCTTAAAACCAGTGCTACATCTCTGCTTTTGTTAAAGTATAAAGTATAATAAAGCCCTATTTGACACAATGTTGTCACTCATTTCGACGTTGGAGCACTTGTTCCACCTTCATTACATCCACCTGGGGGGAAATTCGAGAAGGCAAATAACCCCCAAAAAACAAAACAACAAACAAACAAAAACAAAAAAAACCCCAGGCAGGAACTAAATTCCATACATCTCATCTGCTAAATCTGCCAAGTTTAGAAATAAATGGTCTCATCAACAATTAGAAGAACCAACATAAGTTTTAGAGAACCAAAAAATGTTGTCACAGCTTTTTCTACTTTACCCCACTCCCTCAGTAAGTATACATGACATGATCAAATGATGGGCTATTACTTTATCCATCATATTGCCCCAGTACAATCCCAATTTACCTCCCCTGTATTATTTATTTACTTTTTTAAAAGGGGGAAATTAACTCTTGATTTTACAATACTTTGAGAAGCAAGTCCTTGATCCCGAATGTCCTCTTTACAAGAAAAACCAAACCAAACTGCTCATTTTTTCTTATTCCTTAATAGTACTTTCTTTTCAGCTATAGCAAACTGCATCTTGAGGCCCCAACTTACAAAAGAGAAAACTATTTATAAAGGAAACGGATTCACAAAACAAAAGTTACACCCAGTACAATATTGACATTGTCAGGTCTTTGCACTAGCACTTAAGGGTATGTAAAAACAAGCATACAAGCATATGTAACACACAAAACAACATCATAACAACACACATACTCACAGTACGACATCAACAAACCTGGAACAAGGCCGCAAGAATTCTGTTGGTGACTTGCTGCACTCCATAGCACAAATAACTGTGGGTGTAAACAGTGTAGTTGGTGCCATAGAGCTGCAGGACTCTGCCAAAGCCTTCAGGCATTGTTGTGCCTTTAAGGGGCATGAAGGTGATTTGAGTGGAAGCTCCACCCAGGTCAAGAGCCCCAACGCTTGGAACAATGGTGCGGGCAGGGATACCACCGTTCAGACCTGGTCGTTGCTGTCAAGAGTAAGAGATAAAATGTTTTATGGAAAAAAATGACACGTTTTGTATATTTGAGCAAAGAGAAGCGCAAAACGATAATTATCATTTTTATCTGAGAAAATACAAGAAAGGAAGCAACAACCCCAATTTCACTACATGGAACAATAAAGTATAAGTTGTTTATTTATTTATAACACACATTAGAGGGAAAGAGAAAATGTATGACCTGCCAGTGGCACCCTCAAACCACCTCTGAAAAATTATACAGACAAACAATTTGTTAAAGATAAAAAGGTTTTAAAATCTGCCATCTCTCTTTATGATTTTAAAGAGTAATTACACTGAGTAACTGTAATTTTACATTTTCTACACAAGGTTAAGTAAGTAAGCTATAAGTGGTTAGAACAATGGTTAACTGATTTCTATTAATATCCATCCCGCTTGTTGTTGTTGTTGTTATCAATCCATATTTCTATGAAATATTTATTAAGTTATTTATGTATTTACCTATTTACGTATGTACTGATTAATTCATTAATTCATTTAGCTTGACAGTAAGATCTCAATTAGCAAATTTTCTTTTTCTTTTTCTTTTTCTTTTTACAATTTTGAAAATGCTGCTACATATTGCAATTTCCCCTTACCCAAACTTCCTAGTGTTACCAAACACAACTTTTCTCCAGTCGTTGGTTATAATTGGGTCACCCATTCCAGAGAATAATACCATTAATTCTTCATTGTTACTTTCTAATATTCTTTTCAATCTGATAAAAACTAAGCAGATTCATAAAAACAAACAGGATGTATTGACTGTAAATCATATGTGGTTCTCCAACACAAATAAATGTTTCTTATCATTTTGCATTCCACTAATCATTTCACAGATCTAGTCAAAGATGAAAAAAGAACAATTTAAAAGAAAAACACCCCCCCCCCCCCCCAGTTATAATCATAACCAAAATGCTCATACATTTGAGAAGTGAAAAAGTACAAATTAGCTTATTTGTTAAAACTCCTAACAACTATAAGAACTTGGAAGTAGTCAATAGAAATGTTAAATTTAGTGTTACAAAATGTTACTATGACAAACAGTGCAAATTTGCGGGAAAAATTATGTTTTGAGTTTAAAAGTCGTTCTTGGTATGAAATCAGAATAAAGTGAGAATCACAACTTTCACATGTGCCAAACATGATCACGTAACAGAATACTATCACCACCAAAGCATTATTGTATTAATAAGATGAATATTTGGAGTAATTTTCTTTTGGTCAGAACACAACATTTTATGTTACTGTAGTACTGTATTGTAAAGTGCTAAGAGCCTGAGTACTTTAATCGGGGTTGAGCGCTATATAAATTTCATTTACTATTATCATCGAATTTTCAGTGCTTACCACATCAAAAGAATTTGTGATATAATTGCTCGTAATCCATGAGAAAGAACCCTCATCAAAGCCAGAGATTATGCGCACAGCTTCATTGGGAGCTACAAACTTGAAACCAGAGCCTTTGAAGGTATTTCGTACTGACTCAAGTATTGCCTTGGTTTCATTTGGATTGCTTTCCCTGAAAATAAAATTAAACAAAATTCAGTAGGAAAGTAGGAATGCCAAACAAGGAAACAATTCAGAATCAGAATGAGATTTTCAAATTAGTGAAACGATTATGTAGAATTCTTCAAATCACTGAAAGTCATGATCCCAATATTAGATGAGGCAGACTCTATGAAAACATGTAAGACCACAAAGGCAGAGCAAACAACTTCTATGCGTATGAAACACATTTCACAGCAAGCAAAACTGAGTAATGTCAGGTGGAAGAGTTTTAAATCTTAAGGATATACACATGTATATGTATGTGTGTATGAGTATATAAATATATATTTTTAATGTACTGCTCTGCTAGGTTTGAAAATCAAGTAAACTAATCATAAGTGACTAGTTCATCCCAGACCTGCACCATTTTGACAATAAATATAACAATAATAACTGCATTTATGTAGCATTTATTCATGCTCTTCAGAATGTTCTATACACTCTATAACGAAACGACATGTATTACTATCCTAGCAGACCTCAGAACACTAAGAAACATCCTCAGTTTCCTGGGAAGCATACAAAGCAAGCTGCAGATTGTACATGCTCAAAAACTATCAAATTGACAAGATCTTTCACTGTCTGTCGCCTGGTACCCATTCCTACCTGGATGAAGTGAGGAAAATTTGTGTAAAATGCCTTTCCCAATTACACAACATTGAACCCCTGAAGGGATTCAAACCCACGACCTTACAGTTGCTAGAGCGAGAGCCTAATCACTAAGACACTGATGTTCAAAAGATAAAAGGGTGAGCATCATGCTTTGAATGTGAGAGCAGAAAGTTTCCACAATACATTTTGCTAGCTCATGATATCTTTGCTTTAACTATCATTATGACTACCACCATTGCACTCGAAGAGTGACGTCAGGTGCTTTTAATTCCCAAACGTGCGTGATCTAGCACTGAGGTCATAGGGCTCATAATTGAAAAGTCATGGGTTCAAATCTTGTCAAAGGCCTGGCATTGTGTCCTGGGCAAGTCACTTTACACAAATTTCCTAACTTCACTAAGGAGGGAATGGGAACTGGCCTCCTGACAGCAAAAGATGTTTGAGTACTTAATCAGCTGCCTGCACTGTATGCTTCTCGGGAAGCCAAAAATATTTCTGAATGATCTAAGGTCTGCTGGGGTAAAAATAGTTATATACCACATAGAGCATGGCTACGCACTATATACATACAATTCTTATTAAAGTTGATCTACACACAAAAAAGGCCACCCTAGTCTATTCTATTTTTCAGCATACTTTAAAAGTCTCATTCCTGCTGTAGCTCCCAGATAGACGGGTGTGGTGCTGTGTTTGTGTTGAGGTATCATATCCTTGGCCTTCTGCAAACACGTTTCCAAAGACTTGCCCGCATCATTTGGATGATTAACATAGGAAGAAATGGCACCTCCTGAAGAAATAAAAATATAAGTACAGTCGAACCTGCCCTGACGGCCACCCCTATAAGACGGTCACCTGTACAAACGGCCACTTTCCATTTCCCCTCTTGCGTTTTTTCTATATAATTTAACTGTGTAAAACGGGCACCTGCCCAACGCGGCCGCGGCCACCATGTTTTACCACACAACCCCTATCACACTAAGCAATAACACCTGTCTTAGACGGCCACCTTAGTGACTCCATTACGTTTTGTCATAAATTGTGCACTAGCCCCTGGCGTTGTGAGCGAGCCGTCATAACCCAACCACTTGTCACTGTTGTTAGGTAGTCCTTCCAACCGATCATGTTGCGTAGGCCCCTCCCACTGTTGACCAATAGGTACCAATTTTCAGCTGCTGGTGAGGTAAGTGTGTGATCCCTCATTACCCATAAGCCCTGCCCAGAACTCATACACAAATCGTAAGTGAGATGAGTGTTCACTGTTTACCCAGTCTGTAACAAAGTAACAAAGGACATCAATATGAACTTGCGACAGAAGCGTCGCTCGTTCTCCGAGTGGTGGCAATCCATGTGTTAGTTTTAACATGGCATTCGGTCTTCCTCGTCTTATACATTTCGTATTATTGTCACCCTTGCGCAAAATTAGCAACAAAATAAAAATAACAAACAAAATACAAACCAACAACAATAATACGGCTACTTTCGATAGGGACTTCAGATGGGAATGGTTTGTTTTCTTCATCTTGATCAGTCCTGCCTAAGACGGCCACCTGTCTTATACAGCCACTTTTCTCCTTGACAGTGGGTGGCCGTCTTACACAGGTTTGACAGTATTTACATCAGTGTATTTGACATGACATCCAGATCACAATAGCAAAAGCATATAAATGAAGCATTGTGGTAAAATCAGGTGCTCGTCAAAAGAATAAATTGGAGAAACCAGCACTTTTAACTGGTTTGACAAATTTTATCATATCTTGGGTTTTTGGCTCTAGACCTTTTATGTCCTTTTAAAAACACATTTCTTTGTGGATTTTAGTGAAAACTCTGGATTGAAGGCACAAAACCTGTAAAAATGGCAGTTTACAGAGATTCTCAAGCTAAGGAAGTTACCAAACTTTGGCGGCCATTTTTCTGCTAATTTTACCTATGACATCAGGCGACCCCCACCTCCTTCAATCGCAAATATCTCAACTTCTAAGATAGATGGGTAGTTTTTCATCAAAAGCAAGACGAATGAACACACTTAAAAATAATACTAATAACTCCACACGCTAAAAAGTTGATGAGCGCCTGAACCCGCCGCCTCGTAAAAAACATATATGAACAAAGCTACACAGGCTATAGCTTGTACATGAGCATCTGTCCATGTTTAAAAAATTCTAATTCATTTATATATTGATCGATGTGTGTGCAACTATGCATGGCACGCCTGTAGGCCAGTGACCAAACAAAAATACTTTTTTCCAAAAATAGTTATCCAGTAACAAAAAAGTCTCTTCACTTGGGCCCTATATTAAACACTCTCCATTGGGTTCACCCACAGGATCACTACAATAAATGATTTTTAGTTATCTAGCCTACAAATTGCTCATTTTGAGACAGCGATACCACCCTGCCCCTACATTTCAGTGTGAGCTTGTTGATTTCACCCCAAGACCATCTACACATCTTCATGTGAGTCTCGAAAAGTACTCACCTATCTGTTGTACTGTGTTTCATAGGCATGCGTTAGAGTGTGGTGTTGATGGAAATAGGTCAATTTTTAATGTTTTAAGTGTCTGAAGTAAATCTCCTATTATTTTTTTACCCGCTTCAAGGCTAACATCAAAGAAAATGTGTCGGAACTTTAGTTTCAGCGACCTTCATTAATGGGCTTCTAGATTTTGCTGGTCATCAAACTTTTAGACTCACATGCAAAGACCTGAGAATATTAAACGGAGCCATTTGTTTTTATCTTGTTATAACCACAGACAGACAAAGTGAACAAGCTATACCACTGTTACAAAATGAGCAGCTCAAACAGGCCCTAATCTCTTAAAATAAGATTGGAAAACTACACCTGCACAATCGAACTTCTTCAGTCCATATAAAATACCCAGTCTCCACAATTTTAGTGCCTTAAATAATGGTTCGTTCAAAATAAATAAGGGAATCTTCATCATAAAGAACATTCTAGTTGGAATTCCTGAACTTGGCAGAAAAGTATCCACAGAACCTGTACATGTTGAAGCTGGGCTCTACCTAGAAGCACAGTGCTTTACAAACTTTCTTATGTGATGCATGATAAAATCTAAATATTCCTCTAATGCACGCCTTTTTGAATATATCTAAGACAGATTGACATACCTATCACATCACATTTTTCTCCTGCTTGAGCAGCAAGTGCAGTGCCATTGAACTTTGAACCTTCCCACTTGTAGATGAACATTGAGGTGTGAGTTGAGCCAGCATCAAACACAATGGCGTACTGGAAAAAACAATTGAAAGAATTGAAAACCCAAATCCAGAGTTTTAGTTGCTTTAAAAAAAAAAGTTTTAGTAAGATTTTTACAGCACATGTAATACAATACTAGGTCATATAAATGCCAAAGATTAGAGGTGTTACAAGAAAGTAACAAACACAAAAAAGGAGGAGAGATAGGGAAGATAGATGTTTGATAGGAAAGAAGGAGCAAACCACACCAGAGTACCCGCCAACCACCCGCATCCATAGTCTATACTTCCCCTAGCAATTATGACAAAACATTCTATTTCATGTGTTAGGTGAGTCAGCTATTGAGTGCATCCGTGTTGAAGTTTTTGCTTACTAAGTGCCATGAACAAAGGACAGAAAAGTATAATTGCTTGCTTCCTGTTGTACCCTCTGACAAAAGGGGAAGCAACAAAATACTTCCATTCCAGTCTATTCACATCAATTCTCTACTAAAAGGTAGCCTTGGTGGTCTCAACAAGATTCTAAATACCCTTTCTACAGAGTCGGGGCCATGCGCACTTGAGTGCCCCTCATCTAGATTTCACGGAAGGCATTCTTGTTTTACTGCTTTCTGATAATTTTCTCATGGCTATATATTATATAGATTTTGTTTGGACAGGGTCAAGCAAGAAGATTCAAAGTGCATTCAGCATATTATACTTTGCAGTGCAACAGATGAATAAAACTTCATTAAAAAATCTTTTAACCATATACTTATAAGAATTAAAAGTCCATAATATAATATTCTAACATCTATTAATCCAGCTAACAAAGAGGTAAGCTGAGTGGAACCAAAAAAATATTTCTATACTCAGTCAATGACAAACATTCACATCCCTTTAACTGAAACTAAAACAGAAAGTCTGTATTACCACTCACGTCAATTACTGCTTGTGTGTCTTTGAATCGAATGACACAGATGGCAGTTATACCTGCAGCACCTATGATGAAGCTAAGAATGGCCAAAAACCAAAACAAACTGCATCGGAAAGGTGTTTTTGTCTCCACATCTGTAAAAAAACATTTTTAAGAAATTGTCAATAGTTATAAAGCGCATAGAGTATGCTGTTGAGCATTGGTACGCGCTACATTTATATATTATTTATTACTCTACAGCTCCAGAGGATAAAACTAACTCAACTATAGTTGAAACTGCCTTAAAAGAAACCTATCCAAGACGGAAACCTGTCATAGTGGCTTCCCCCTTGATAAATTTCTCTATAATACACCTAAGACTGCAACCTGCTCAACCCGGAAACAGAGAGTAAAATTCCCTCCCAAGGGAGGATTTTAACCAGTCTAAGATGAAAATGCTTTGCCCGCTTAGCCCTGACTTGAAACAAAACTCCCAAATTTGGTATCATTGGTTCTAATCTTTAAGACATGCAGCCAGGTGAGGAAGGGGAAAGGGAAGCTGTTTGGGGGTAGCTATTACCCCATCCATGTGAGGCCTGAGTGGACTGCCTACCATCCTGACTGTATAGCTAGCAGAGAAAAAAGTTTGGTGAATTGTTGTTACATGCAGGGTGTAAGTTTGGCATGACATTGGTTGATTGTGCTTTTTTAAAGAAGGATGGGGTTAAGCGTGGAAACAAAGGAGACATTCAGTCGTTTCTGTTTTTAATTGGTGGTCCTATGAGATGCAAGATCTGGTGGCAATGGATAAGTAAAACTGATGTATACCATTACCAGAAAAGCTACGAAAGCACTTGAGAGTTGTGAAGTTTTCACCACCTCTTCCCGATTGGACTGGCAACCCTTGATCCTACTACCTACGGGCTTGCCCTCTGCCCCCCCCCCCCTAATTTCCCAGTCCAAGAAAGAAAATGTACCAGATGGAACTGTTTCTGGTTCCCTCACGATTCCGCAGAGTACAGGTTCAATTGTACATATACCAAGATAATGTCACAATGTAGAGGATTAATAAGTGAGTTGAGCGTAGAAACTTCACTCTGTACCTCCATACTGTTTGAGATTAAGTATAAAATCATTTGCTAAAAAAGACAACTACATGAGTGAAAATAAAAAAGTTAAAGCACAGAAAATGGAAACCAAAGGTGTCTATATAATTTGTTGACGATATTTAATACAGTAGTCTTCGCCTAAGATCCCACCGCTTACTATCCCGGTTCGCTTGTTGTTATTGATCCAGATCCCGGTTCGCTTAAGATCCCGCTGTTTTAAGAAAACAGAATTTTTACTATACAAAAAGTCACCCCTAAGATCCCACTCTGATTCACTCTGAAGGTCTACATTCGGCTAAGATCCCGCATTTCAGATCATAATTTGCGGAACAAAAACCCGGGCAGGACAGCCGATCAACCAAGAGTGAAAAGTTGAGATCAATAAATTGTCTGTCGCGTCAAAGATCAGCCACTATCGTGAATGTGATCACATACGCAATGTAAAAGTTAAAACTCGATGAAGCGATACAATGTTTGCCCCAGACGGGATTACACCGGGGTGTGAACTGACCGACACGTTTGTTTTCCCCACGAATCGCACTCACACCTGAGCTCTCCCCCTAAACTTATATCACTCGCTGGGTGGGTAGGGCCTACTTTCCCTCTAGGTGGGATCACATTGAACGGTGTACTCCCTTCTTGATCATTGCAGCAGTTGTCTCTACTCCCAAATTTGCGAGACAGACTGTATTTTAATTGGTGTGTTCACAACATAATGGGGTGTAACGAAAAAGGCGGTTGGGGGAGGGGGAGGGGAACACGGTCAGAGACGGAAAGCTATAAATTTTCGGCAGGTAGAGGGGAGGGACAACTGGATAAGCGTAGATCTTGAGACTCATAATAGGATAATAAGTGAAAATGGCACGCCTCATCCCACTATGCACTGTGAAAGGTCATCAAGGTTAACTACTCTTTGCTCGCAATATGCCATAAACCCACAAAGGGGTCACGTCAGTTCATTTTAGAGTGGAGGGAGACCATTTAACAGATTGTGAGCCTTAACATGGGTCACTATAGATTCTTCCCTGGGTTCGTCGGTTAAGATCCCGGTTCGCCTAAGATCTCGCATTTCTTTGCTCCTGAGCACCGGGATCTTAGGCGGAGACTACTGTAATATATAAATGAAGAATGATAATATGAATATTTCAACAGGAACAGCAGAGAACACTAATAACAATAAAAAGGAATAAAAAAGAGCTTACAACACAGTGCCCATACCATCAAACCACCTATTAAGTATAGAATGACTACATTTTGACAGCAAGATAATACAGAAAGAAACAAGAGAGGTACAGAGTGTTCAAAGGTCACTTATATTACCTTCACTTGTCCAATGAAGAAAAGCTCCATCCAGAATACCTGCCCCCTGAAGAGTTTCACTCCTTGACAGGAGATCATGACCCTTGCTTCGCAGGCAGTATTCAGTCCTCAATGGTGTATTTGCTTCTCTGCACAGATCTCGAAGGAGTGCTTCAACAGTAGCATCTGGAGACACTCTCAGACGGAATCGACCCTGGGGTTCATCTGATGGCAGAATACTCTGTACTGTGACTTCAATCTCTTCCATAATCATGCTCTGATTTGCGATTCATCAAAGGAATTGGGAGTTACAACCTGAAATTAATTTTAAAAGTTTTAAAAAGTTTTAGTAGAGGTTTTATGGCACTCGCAACTGCATAAGGTCATATGAGCGGTAGAAGATTAGAGGTGTTACAAGAGAGTAACAAGCATAAAAAAGAAGAAGGGGAGATAAGGACGATAGATGTTTGATAGGAAAGAAAAAGCAAACCACACCAGAGCACCCGCCAACCACCCTCAATTACTTTTTGTTTAAAATACTTTGCTGAACAAATTAGTCTGAAAGAAAGACAAGAAAGGAGCATTTTTATACAGAACAGATGTAAAATCTTAACATTAGATTGGGCCAAAAGTGACTTTCCCTGAAGACATTGAAATGACCAAGGAGTTTGAAAAGTACAAGAGTTTGTTTGTCTCGATGATGCAGTAATAGAAGGGAGTGAGGGAGGGAGAAAGTTGTTCACACCTTTGCAACTGTGCAAAGAGTCACAGTCATAGGAGGGGGAGATATTATAGAGAGGGGCGGAAAAAAGGAAGTTTTAAATTCTTAGCTTGTTACATACAGAGGCTCTTATTATAATCCTTAGGTGACTATCAGAACTAGCTGACTGATGGTGTATATTCAATGCAAAGTCATTGAATGATTCAGTTATTACCTTGATTATATCTAGGCCTACCTATGCTAATATTTTGATCATTTTTAAGTCAAAGAAAGTAACCCCTCCTTAATAGTTTTACAGCCGATCGGATAAAATCTGTCGATTACCTTCTTCATTAAAAAGATTCTTCTCGCAGCGAATGCTATGAACTGTGCACAATGAACTCAGAGTGACACCCATAAGCAGCACAGACACTGGATGCTTTGTCACCATTTATCTCAGCTAAGATAAAAAATGACAAAATATAATTTTCATTATTTTTCTAATTTTCCAAATACTGAAAAAACAATGACAGATTTGTGCACAGCCCTTTCAATGGAAGTAAAATCGTCTCTTAGATCGTTTTTGAGATAAAGAGGTCACATTTTTTCTACTCTGGCCATGCCCTCGGTTTATAGCAAGGTCTACCTTCTTTAGTCTTCATCAATATACTGTAAAATCTACTCAGAAAAAAACAACAACCAAACACAACATGAAATTTTCAATCGCCAAATATAAAAAAGTAATTTGAGTTCATGAAATCAAACCCTTGCACTTTTAAAATATATATGATACTTTTGTCTCTCTCTTTCTGTGTCTCTCTCTTTCATCCAAGTGTATGATTTAAAAGTGCATGTATTCATTCTTTTGAATTCAGGAGAAGATGGAAAAAGAATAATATAATAATATGGAAGTTGAAAAATGGACAGTTTCATAACAAAGAAGAATAGAAGACATGAGAGAAGGAAATAAAAACTGTCCAAATAGATGCTGCTGCCTTCTGTACCTGTGATGTGTTAGCCTCAAACAACAATAAAATAGCAATATATTTATAGGAGAGATGCTTCATGGAAAAATAAAACACAATTAAAAGCCTGAGAATTTATAACATGTACTCTATAGTATTACTTAAGGCAAAATAGTGAATTAAAAATTGTACGCGCCATAGGAACAAGGCTTAACACTAGCACCATAGACACTGTTGTATTACCACATCATACTCTTATATATCGTCACTGTTGCAAGAAAATTGCAAACTGGTTTCACTTTCCTCACAGCAAAAATTAAAAATTAAAGAAGTTCATTTCTAATGAAGACTATGCCACTAAAGATGTAACATTGTCAAATTGTAATTTTAACTATTGGTGTATCATGATTTCAAGGCAAAGTAAGTTTGTCACCATTGTCACTCAGTGTCGTAAAAAAAATTACTATACCTTGTTCACTTTCGTCTGACCGAGTTTAAAACAAGATAAAATGACATGTCTGATAAAAACTTAACTCAAAACTTACCATTACGGGTCTATAAGTTGGATGACCAACAGAATCTAAAAAGCCCATTCAAAAAGATAACTGCAAACTAAGGTTCCGACACACTTTCTTCGATACAAGCCTAACATTGGTCCAAAAAATAATAGGGGATTTACAGCATAGCCTACATAGATCTCTAGATAACATTTAAAAGTTGACCGATTTTCCTCAACACCACACTCTGACGTACTCCTAAGAAACATGATTCAAGAGACAGATTGAGTAATTTTTTAGACTCACGTAGAGCACATAGAGACGTTAAGCAAGCTGGGGAATGAAATCAACAAGCTTACACAGAAATGAGGGGGCAGGGTGGTGTCGCCATCTCGAAATGAGAAATTTGTAGTCTAGGTTACTGTAGGTCATTTATCTTGGGTACGCATCCAAAGAGCGGTTTTCAAAATTGAAGGGCCAAAAAGAGAAAAAAATTTTTGTTTGGTCGCTGGCCAGCAGAAGTAGATCTACCACTCGAAGTTTCTTGAGGTAAATTAATAAATGAGCAAGAATTTTATAACGTGGACAGACGAAAGCGAACATCTAGATGAGTAGCTTGGCCTACTCCATTCAGAATAGTTGTTTTTACTTACGCTGAGCTATGACATGTTACTTTTAATTTACTTGAAAAGTGTTGTTGTTGGGTTTTTTTTAAAGGTGATATTTGTTCGCAATTCCATTCGACTTGCATTGCTTTATTATGGCAAGGCCGTTACTCTCTTAGAGCCAACCCAGCTGTTAACTTAACGGCCACCTCTATTCTCACCCGGAGTGAGAATAGTGCAGGCGAGTCTTGTGGCTATTCTCACCCGGTGCGCGTTCACCAAATTTTGCGTTCACCCTAAACCACAGAATTCTACACTGTGATAACAGAAAAATTGTAGAATTCTGTGCCGTGAACAAACGTTCCATTACAACTGTAGCCTACTAAAAGCGTACAATTTTGTCTGTGGGCGGTGGAGAGAGAGAGAGAAAGAGAGAGAGGAGTAGCGCGAGAATTTCCGGGCAAAACAAAATGGCGACCCGCGTAGTTCGGCTCGATTCGAAAAGTTAAATAGCCGTAGCATCTTTGTAGACAACCAAATTAATTTACTTTTGTGTTTTAACATCATTTTTTAACTTTGTTTTGGTCAATTTGAACGTCCACACCGATAGACAGTATTCAGAAAGAGACAGAGAGAGAGAGAAGAGGGGAGGAGTTGATCTTGGGAGAACTTCCGGGCGGGTGAGAATAGCCACTTTCTAACTTAACATCTCTCTAAATAGACTAGTCTAGATCTAATATCTAGATCTACTACTAAATCTAGTAGATATAGTAGTGACCCTGGTGGTTAGGGTGCCTTCACGAGAAGCCCAGTTTGAGAAGTAGATTCTAGAATCTAGCCTCTATGCCCTAAAACTCTAGTAAAATTGCTCTCTAATCTAAAGTCTAAAGACCAACAAAAGGCTACAAGTTTGAGAAGTATAATGCTAAAACAACATCAATCTGTTTAATAAAATTGCTCCTTCTAAAGACCAACAATTACACACAAGCCTCACACAATATGTTTCACAAGAAAGTTCTGAGTGAGGTGACAGGCCACCTTCTCCCATCAACTTCGTCAAAGCAAATGATAATAGATTGTTATCGCTTGTCAGAATTGCCAGCAGACAGCGCAAAATAAATCAAAACTGTCCAGGTACATCTTGTCTTGCACTTTTTGTAGGCCTAGTTGTGGAAGTTGCTTGTATTTAAATGTAGCCTACCACTTGAAGGCAGCCTTCGAACATCTTTGTTTAAAAAAACCCACATCAGAGCAACCCTGAAATCCACATAATCTTATAAAGAAAATTACCAGTAAGAACTACAATATCTGTTCCTTTAAAGGACTAAACAAAATAATGAAATAAATATTAAAGATCTCTAATGAAACTACACGCGCAACCCAACCAAAAGAAATAATAGTCAAGGCCAAGCTTTACCTCAAGGAGTTCCCGAACCCAAGGCGAAAACATGAAAGCGTTAATAAAGTGCAACATATATCATATATAGGCCTATATAATATTTTCATGTGTGAGTGAACGTGTTTTATGTGTGAGCGTATGCCTCTGCACATGTGAAGGCTACGTGTATGTTTGATGAAAAAGAAAGAAATCGGGGAAGGTAGGCCTAAATTATATTATAGACAGAGAACGCTGTAAATACGAGAGCCAATGTGGCAAATAAGATGCAAAGCTAGAATGTCAGCCGCATGAACGTAAAAATCTAGGCTGGGCGACCTGAAAGAAAGAAAGCGGAACAAATAAACAATTGCTGTCAAGACCGTGGAAGAAAGCTACGCATGGGGTGCTTTCAGATTCTTCTTTGTGGAATGCACACTGATCACGAACTTAAATTTGTTATTATTTGGAAGAAGCATTTGGTAATTGTTTAGCAGTATTAGTGCATAAGTAAGCTATATTGCCTTTGTGAGTTCACATGTGACTTGTGGAAAATCTATTTTCTATGAATGGATTATGATAATAGCGTGACGTCACACTCCTAATTACAAGGGGGCAATATAAAAACTATTGTCGAAGTTTCTTCGTGTAACGCGATATATTTTTTTTCTTTTTTATCAGTTTCTTAATTTCATCAAGTGGTGAACTCAAAGTACTTTTCGATATTTTGTAATAAACGTGGAGAATAGTGCCTTGGGTACGAAACACATGGTGCGGAAACACTTTCTTCGGATGTGTATTTATTGAACAAGTGACCTAGATGTGAGTGTCGATTATCAGATTGTTGGTCTTATGTTCACATGCATGCGTTGCCGTGTGAATGGGATGCTCTGGGGAGTCAAGTCGATTTCAAAATGTCTTTCTTTCAGTTCCAAGGGCCACCATGTCTTCAGCACACCAATTATTTGTTTTACAACGCGTTCAAGTACAGTTGTGATGGAAAATTTAGTGTTTTGTCGGTCGGAGATTTTTTCTTTTTGAAAATATTGCAAGAAATTCCAGTTTGCATTGGAGAGATCGAGCTGCTTTGGGAGGACAAGGCGTCAAATCAGCTACTCTCAAGCCTCAGATTATACTTTCGGCCAGAGCATACTCCTGACGGAAGGCACGATGATACAGGCGAGGTGAGAGCTTAATGAGTCTTTATTTCTTATAACTGGAATTTTTTAAATTATAAGATACGTTTGAATTTGAGTATATATCTTGATTTAATTGGTTGTCTTTAATTTCATTTCTATCGATTTAGCCGTTTAGTTTAGTACAAGCTCCCTCTAGAGTAGCCTACATTTTGAATCTAGATCTATGACCAGTCTGCAGTCAACTGTTCAGCAGCCTAGATCTGTCTTCTAGAGTCTATATCTAGATCTAGATCTAGAAATATAGAATCTAGATCTAGATCTAATCTAGATCTAGATCTAGATTTAGATTCAAAATTAAAATTATTTTCTAAGTAAGGCCTACCTTGGCTTGGCCTTGGCTTTTCCCCCCTTTAAAAAAAGGCTTCTGTTCTTAACCCTTTGGGTTCATACACATTGTCATTTGTTTTGTGTTTTTTATGTGTGTGTGTGTGTGTATGTGTGTAGGCCCTATAATAATGTGCTTTCTAGAGTTTGGATATAATCTAGGTTATTCTAGGCCAGGCCCCAGTAGCCTATATTTGACTTTTTACGTAAAATCTGATCCGGCCTTGATTACAATCTACTTAATATATTAAATTGCAACAATGCTAATTTCACAGAGAGCCAAATCTGTGTAAAGATTGTTTCATGTGGAATAATAGCAACTAATTGACTGAACTGGAATCTAGATCTTTTAAAAGGCTTTTGTGGATTCTTTAATTAGACTATTTAATTTTCAAGATGAAAATGCCTCACATGATATGAATCTTGAAAAGAAATTTAATCAATTTAGAACTTCTTGTTTTGTCTTTTACTTTGTATCTATTTGGATTGACACTCGCACACTCATAATTTATAATGTTGAACTAGGTTACTGTTCGTAATAGATCTAGATCTAAATCTAGTGTTAAAAATCGTACCTAGCTAAAGATCTAGATCTAGTAATTTAGATCTAGAGTCTATATCTTTTTCTTTTTGATTTTTGTGACTTATTTTTTAGGGAATTAGAAACAAAGTATTAGTCCTATTATTTAAATTCTTAATATTAGCACAGCTACTAAATTAAATGCACCATGAATGTAGCCTACGTAAACGAGAATCTAGGCCTATTATGTCTTCATCATCATGTTGTACACTTTAATTTTTAAAATTAGGCCTATAATATAATTGTCAGGATTTTTTGTTGCTACTTTTGAGTCTAATTCAATATCCTTTTTGTGTGTGGACTGCCTTGTGGTTGGGAATACAAAGGCAAAGGCTTATGGCTTATGTCTTTGATTGATTTTCATTTGTATTTTTCATTTCATCGGATCGTGCCTTTGATTGATTTTCATTTGTAGTTTTCATTATTCATCACCCGTTTGAAGTGATGTGTTTAGCAATGAAATGACGTGCAGGACTACTCTGTCTTTTTTCATCTGATCCTAATCTCAGAACCCAGCTTTATGCAGATCTTTGAAGTGAACTTTGGGACGAGGAGTGGGGAAACAGCTATTTTAGTCCTTTTTTATTTCTATGAAGCCAAATGATTTATTGGAACAACCTGTAAAAATAATTTTATATTAAGTGAATACGATGCATTTAATGCATTTACTTATTGTTGAAAACAAGGAACGTCTTAAGTATTTTTATTGAGAAGGAAAGAATATTTTTGAGAATTTATATTGGGTTTATGAAATAAAATCTCAGTTGCCTTCAGTGAAATGCTCGATTTGCATAAAACTGTACAGAAGTACTGTGTTCGGTATATTTTGAAAATATGTACCTGTTTCTGTTGAAGAGGAAAGTATAATTCTCTGAAACCTGAAAAGAAAGAAAGTGTAATTCAATCTAAAAAGAAAAGAAAAACACAGTGTGGAGTAGACTGAAACGTATTTAGGTATGTAACTGTAAGCCGTGGGTGTCAGGCATTTATAGCCCTCCAAGATAAGTTCTAGGTCTGTTTCTTGTATGCCTTTGTCAAAGGTGTTGTGTTTGAAGCTCATTTTCAGCCTACTTTTTGTGGCAGTTCTCAGTTTTTTGTTGCGCACGGGGACTTTTGAACAATATTGCCAGTGCAAGGTACAATAATTTTTATTTGTGAGGGGCACGGGGTGGGGGAGGTATACCAATAATCCAAATGTGTTATTGTGTTAAACAAGTTCAAGAAGTCCCCTAAACTCCGGCTACATTGCGCTGGTCATTGACAGGCCTACGCTGTCTAAATGAAGGGGAGTGTAACACATGCCGCCACCGGCCCGACCCGCCGCACAGAGCAGCACCATTCCCACCCCTCGTTTACCTTTGCCGTCGGTTCACTCGCGGCCCACAGGCCCGCGTCCTTGTTTGTGATCGCGTTCCTCGCGGAAGCGAGAAAAGGGACCATAACAGGAGATACCGATGTTATTTTACTTCCCAGTATCTTTGTAAAATTATTATTCTTTGGCATTTCGATATTAAATGGGTACTTATTCATGATGAGCTTTCGTGAAACGATTTTGTGAATATTCTATTAAAAAATATGTTGTTAATAGAATGTATTCTCCTTGAACGAGAAAGTAAGGAATTAATATCGTGCGCCTTAGAGAATCAATACGGCCTTCTTGTCGTGTGGCTTCACTAGCGGTTGTTCTGATGCGTAATATGCTCACTGAAGTTTTGTTGCTCGTTACATTTATCATAGCATACTACACAGTCCCTTGTTCGCGTCTTGTGCTAGCAGCATAATTTTCCCGGCAGACGGTAGCACATAATGAAGCAATCGACGTACATCTATTTTCATCTCATGTTGAAATTGATCGTACGACGGAGGAAACGCTGCGTGAAAAGGTTACAGACTGAAATGACTAATGACGGTTGGCAAGGATTTGGGGTGGAAATGAATCGGCCATTTTGGTTGTAGCCGTGTCGAGGAACAGGCGTGTAAGGGTGAAGCGGTTGTTATTTTGAGGAAGGGAGGGGGGAGGGGCATCGGGTGAAGGTCGGATATTCTTACATTGGGAAGTTTCGTTGGCGCTGGTCGAATAGGAGCGTTGAGATTTGATTGAATATATCTCTCTAATAAAGTATAAAGGTTGCCGTTGTGCTTTACCCAGACACCAAGACGATCAATACTGGGACAGAATTAGGAGGAATTTGAGTGACTCCATATTCTTCTTTCATTTATTATATTGACATCATAGTCTCGGCAAGAATTCTAAATCGTTGTCGGCAGCCAGTCTGATATTAAGTCTTAAGCCGTTAGCTTTACTTTCTGATTCGTCTATATACGAAACTGATTAGAATGTTTCCCCCTGCCCCTCAGTAAATTGATTTTTTGATGGATTGAGAAAAACTTTCCATTCAATGCGCCAAGATTTGAGATGGTGTTAAAGGGAAATAGTCATCGGGAGTAACTAGTTTTATGAATAGATTGCCTCTCCAGGAAGTAAATGGCAGACACTCTCTCTGAGCTTAGGAGAAACTTATAAAACATGAATTGGGGGGGGGGGGGTAAGTACCAGTAGTTTTTGTTGATCTATGCACACAGTTTCGTGGCTATGGACATATTGTAAACACATTTTCTTAATTTTTAAAAAGAAATAATTTTAATAATATTCTATTCCAACTCCGCTCAAGGGGTTGATCGTGGTTCTCTTTGTTACGTGCGACAAGAAACAACAGACAAACAAAGAAAAAGCAGCAAAACCAAACTAATAAATATAGACCAGTTCCGGATTTACATTCATATCAGATCGAGCCCCCCCCCCCAATTCTCGAACAGTCTCATGTCGACATCTTTCACTGGTGAAGCGAGCGGGAATAAGCATGTCTAATACTCTGTGGTGGTTTGTGACCGGCAGAACGAGGGCAGTATGGGGCGGGCGTGGGGCATGGTGGAGTAAGCTTGAAGAACGAAGCGCTTTCGGTCGTTATCAGACAGAGCTGCCGCGATTGGCCAACTGCGACAACTCGATTGGGAGCCATTTATTTGTTTATTGATGCGATTTGAACTTTTTAGCAAACAAAATTATTGTATATTAACCTTCCAATCGCAATTTGGTAGTTCAAGTGCTTCAGAGATTCGATTTATGAATAAATTGAAGAAATGTGTGTGTGAAATTATGTTTATCACGGGGAGAAGTGGTAGTGAGGGAAGGGAAGCAAGTATGAAACCAACACACGCACACATTGCCAGCTGCTGCTGTACTTGTAGTGGTGACGGTAAATCCGACTCGGGTAAAGGGGGGAAAGGGGGCGCTGTACCGCAATTTGTGCAATACAGCGTTTGTCGTTTATTCTGAGTGAATGCCTGTGTGTGTGTGTGTGTTGAATAATGCGAGTTTGGTCCACTTTTAGCTGTTTTCATGTTGCTACTTTTTCATTTTAACAAATTAATGCATTTGAATTAAATTCAACTTGTGTTAGTGTTTTTTGTTGTTGCTTGGATATTTATTTTTTTAGTGGTTTCTTCCTGTTTCTTTGTACTTGTCTCATTTTTTCCCTTTTGTCATGTCCTATTGTGCTTTGATCTAATGCTATAAAATGCTCATTGACATAATTGTAACATATGCAATTTCGCTTTGGTAATTGGTATTTCTTCCCGTCTGTTTTGTAAAATAGGTTTGATAAGTTGTTTTTTGTTTTTTTTGGGGGGGGGTCTCAATGCTTGCTAATCAGCTTTGGGGAATGTTTGTGTTTGGTTCAGTCTTAAAAATGAAGGATAGATAGTCGATTGTCGATGGCCACGGCCTCGTTTCATCCCATTCTTCGTTTCCTCGATCTAAAAAAAGGAGAGAGAGAAAACAGGGTCTGAGTATGCGTGTGTCTTGTGTTGCGTTTCACGGTGCGTGTCGTTCATTCGTCGTAAAAACTAGGCCAGTTTCTTTCTTCTTGCTTTGCCTGCTTGCTTGTGGTTGACGAGCAGAGAGCGACCTATTCACAATACACGCATTATTATCCGCTCTTTGCCAGTGGCCAGTACCTTTTCCCCCCTAGCTTTTATGTGGAATAGACACAATGCAGTTGTACTATACACGTAGGCAGCA